GCGCTCGAATTCGGCGTTACAGGGAGTTGTAAACGGCTTTCATTCTTTTTAATCTAGCTAATCATGATTCGCCAAGTTTATGTGCTGACACCTAGAAGCTGCCTTTGTGAGTCGGCGTCCCATGCTATTGTCGTCCCTATCCAGCCTACTGGGAGACCCTGCTGTCCCGGCTAAAGGCCTACATGGCAAGGGCAAGGCTGAGGGAGAGGCACCAGGAGAACCTGAGGCGCAAGCTGTTCCAGCTCAAACAAGAGGTGGGACACCTTTCTCGTGTTCCTCGGGCTCCTGTCATCTAGATCAGAGGGTCGCCAACTTACGGCCCGCAAGTCAGTTTTATGCGGCTCTCTGCACGACGCCAGAAAAGTCCCCTTTCCCCTCCTCCTGCCACTCCCTCTGATGGACTGAAGGACCATTAAGCAGTTTTGACCTCAAATGGTATTAGACAGGAACAAGGAGCACTTCCAGTTGGCATTGCCCGGCATCCCCTTCCATACTTGGGCAGAGAAGGCTTCACTTCCTTTTTGCCTTCTCTTTACCTGTCCCCCCCCCCCCCCCCCCCCCCCCTTCACGACTTGTCATTCGGGCCTGTCTTTATCGCCTTCGTGACAACTCGACTTGCCACTGCAGAAGGTTGCCGACCCCTGATCTAGAGTATTAGTTCAGGTGCACAAAATGCAGCCCCTGGGCACTGCAGTTATGCTGCAGTTTTGAGTTGATTGCTTCGTCTTCATACCTTGACAGAACACGCGTGTCTGTTTGACTTTGCAAAGAATATTGATTGTGTTGGAGCCGTAGAAAGACAAGGTTGAAAGCCACTCTAAGTGCATTTTGAATTGGAATTTCCACCAGTTGTTGTCACTGCCCCTTCCCGTCAAAATAATGCTCGTGTACGAATGCGAAATCCCACTCTACAGCAGAGGCACTGCTGTCCCTTTTCCCCGTTGTTCCTCACACATACACGCCAACTGCGGCAAAGCTCTCTCTCGCTCCCTGCCCCCCTTTTCCTCCCTGTAGGCCGCCGCAATTTCGAAGAACCCACATGATCGTGGGGTGAGCACCTTCCACCTTCTCTTTGTTCCTGCTACATCCACTTGCCCTCCGGCGACGCTTTCTTTTCCTCCATCCCCCCCACTCTGGGAGCCAACGTTGTGAAATACCCACGTGGTCGCACTGTGGCAACACGCTTCCTTGCCTCCCCACTGGTGCCTCCCAGGTTCCGTTCTCAGAACCCATTGCAAACATTGTACAGCACACTGGTTGAAGGCAAATCTCCTTCAACGTGCCTTTCCACAGAGCAGCAGCTATCACTGTCAATCGCAGCACAGTTTGTGTGGTCGTTCGCAATTTTGTTTTACGGCGATTTTGTCATTTAACCCTTTAATTGTTTTTAGTTTTTGGGAATTTCTGACCCTCAACTGCTTAATTAGCTATGTGCACCTCCTGCACTGGTGCAGAAAAGTGTAGGGCAGTGTACTTCCAGTTGTATCTTAATACACATACCGGAATTACACTGCCCTACTCTTTTCTGCACCAAGGCAGGAGCTGCAGGTAAAACAAACGAAGCTATTGTTATCTTCAAAATCAAATTTTTAGCCGCAGATAGAATGGGAGCAAAGTATAAAAGGATTCAGTGCTGCCATCTGTTGGCACAGCTGCAAACAGCCACGAGCGAGCCAAGTTCATCAAAAACGGTTCAGTGCGTGAACTGGGGAAAGCAGACGAGCTGTTTTCGTCCCGAACGGTTCGGGGATGGCTCCACAGTGACGAGCTTTGCTCTTTCAAAACTGTTAAGGGGTCAACAGAGTGTGCTAGTTTATACAGGGTGCTTTTGGAAACGCTGTCCAAATCGTTTCTGCGAAAAGTAGGAATTGCAAAGAAAAAAGGTTGATGCTCTTTTGGTCTCTGCCAAAGGGCACATTTGGGAAAATAATGGTGCTCAGTATCATTAGTTTATGAATTACTCCCAAGTGCTTAATTTTTTTATCAGTAGATTTATACCTATAGTTTCAATTAGGAACTTGCTGGGGATTCTCGAAAACTGCTTAATCAACTTTAGAAATATGGATGGCACATGTAGCTTTTTGCTGCATTCCAATAAACGCTCGATTCAAACGTGTTTCTAGGTTTCGGTCCCCTATCAGAGCGCATTCTTTGTGCCCGGGGACCTCACCCTTGTGGCCGAGGCACGCAATGCATGTGTGCCATACTTCCTTCCCACCTACAAGGAAGGCGAAGCAGCAGCTGTGAGCTTCATCTAGGGAAGGGGGGGGAGGGGACGGGGACCGGACTGCTGATACAAAGATTGCGCTCAGATAGGAAACCTAAACCTAGAAATGCGTCCCAGTTGAGCATTTCTTTAGAACGCAGTAAAATGATGTATGTGCCTTCTGTGTTTTCAAAGTAAATCGATTTAGTGCTTTTCAATTATCCTTAGCGAGTTTCTATATCAGGCTATACCTATAAATCTAGTAATTAAAAAGTTAATTACTCAAAAGTAATTAATAAACTAATTATACCAAACATTAATATTCCCTAGTGGGTCCGTTGGCAGAGACCCAAACAACATCATCCTTTTTTCTGTGCAATGCATATACCTTTAACCCACATTTCCAAAAACACAGTGTACAGTGCAATCACTTATGACGATAATGAGGAAACCCGAAATTTAAATTGTTATATTTAATTATTGTTGTATCGGGACTAGAAACTGATCGTTTTAGTTCACAAACTCTACAAACTGATAGTTATAAGCGGTACATCGTTATATGTGGTATCATTATAAGTGGATTGCACTGTATAATCAAAGCACATATAGACCCTTTTATTGAAAGTGCAGGAAGAAGGCACTGTTTACAATTTACCGCCCCGCAAACTTCCGGTCAAATAAGAAGACAAATAACCCCTGCCGTAGCACCGCTTCTTGCAATGTTCACGAAATAATTTATGACCAGTTCTCTAGGTGATGAGCTAAAGGACTGGTTAGCGAAAGATTTGTTTGAGACTTTTTAATACTCCCGAAAGACGACCGATCCCCTCTTTTCTGTTTTATAACACAGCAGAGGGACCTCGCTAGATCCCCAACTTTGTGATTACCGTAGAACTCAATCGTCCCAGAAATTTTACGTCAACATGCTCCTGCTGAATTGGAGTGACGAAAAGTCTTGAGGGGGGGAGGGGGGGGGAGGAGGGGGAGGAGGGAGGGGGGGTGGGGGGGGGTTAAGAGACTGCTCATGTTTGTAAACAGTAAAAGAGTCTAGGAAGAGATAGAGCCTCATCAAGGCGTACTTGTAGCAGCTTTTTGCCCCCACAGCCGCATTTCTTTTAAAAGAGAGAAAAAGAAAAACAAAGCATACATTCATTCACTTAATAAGCTTATAAAGCTGGTACAGTCTTTTGAAGCATTTGATGTAGTCGGCTTTGTTTTTTTATAACTTCAGTTCACTGTAGAGATGTTTTACCTGAAGCCACTAATATACACTTAGAGTATCAATGCTTCGTTCCTCGATTATCTTGTGGGGGCCGCCATTTTGGTACGACGGTTACAATTCGAAAATGTGATGAACTCGAAATACGGTTTTAGAAAGCTCTGAAACCGTTTTTTTTCTTTCGCTGTTTGTTCAACATTTCTGGAGGGTGCTGAAGTGTCCTCACTCTGAAGTGTGGCTCCTTAGCGGCACTAGCTTTATCTCCCTCAGCGTTAGCCAGCGTTCCATCCGTTCCTTCTCTGAGACAGTGTGCTGCATTGTTTCTGACTCGCAGCAAGGCGTGGACAGCGGCCCCCTGTTCCCGTGCGTCAAAAAGGAGTCCCCGTCACACCTGGATGGGGAAGGCTTTCCCCAGCCTGGCCCTTCCGGCTCACAGCCGGGAGAGGCCGCGGAGGTGAAGGAGGAGCCCTCAGAACGGCCTGAATCTTCGGCGGCTAGCACGGCAGAGGGCGAGGAGGAGGAGGAAAACAAGGAGGGCGAAGCAGAAGAACCGGCCGTGGTCAAGTATGTTGACTCTCGCTGACGCACGCTTTCTTTTGTTTATGGGTGCCCGAAAATGGATTTTTACCTACTGCTATCATAGGCATACAAATTCACACTTGCATGTGTCTAAACTGAAACACGAAGGTGATAAAAACCAGTAAGGAGAACTTGTGTAGACTCCTGGAAGCTTCAGAACTGTAGCCCGTGTTTTGCTAAGAGGCTTGGCCGAGTCCCTTGGCACAATATCGACTGCAACTCGGAGGCTTTTGCGAGGCTTCTTCTCAAGGCACACGGTATGTGTGTGAATGTGCGAACATTAGAAACGACCGGATTTATATGATTCGAACCTGCCTTCAATTTTGGCCCAGTTCTTACACAAGAAAATAGTGATTCTAACATGCCCATGATTTAATTTCGCACCCGATACGAACGGATTGACATGTTTTAGGAATATTAACGCACAATGTGTTAAATGTCTGGCACCTAGTTATATCCAGTTCTAAACCAGTCTGAAGTAGACAGGCCGACTGCCACCGAACGCTGATGCAGCGCTCGTCTCCTCACTGACTGAACACCTGTACCAACTGAAAGTTTTCCTCGAGTGCTTCCGTGTTACATCCGGCGAGGAGAAAACATCACGTGTTCAGACGTGCACGCTTTGCTCCATGAAACAAGCGAGCTTCGGGCTTCTCCAAATAAAGAGCTTAAAAGAAAGCGACAAGAAAGCAGATAAAAAAAACATGAGCCATTCTGTGAAGGTGGATTACCAGCGAAGCTGTTTAGCACACGACGCAGACGTGATACAGAATTTTGAACAAAGCTGTAAACATGTTTATTGTCTTGATCGGGAGAGCAGAAGGAAAGGAAACTTGGCACGCAAGTGCTTGGAACGACGACAAAGAGAGTGCGGTGCGAAGTTAGATCACATGGATAGACTTTTGTACCTTGTCCAGCTGCATTGTGGTACCTTGTCAAGGCCACGCTTCCAAGTTGCATGCCAACATGCCTCTCGCTCCAGCTGTGTCGATCGCAGCTCGGTATGCTTGCATCCTAGATCGGCATGGCTACGACGTTAAATTTGACAGCATTTCACGCTTTCAGCCTAACTCTGTGTCCGAGAAAAGGCTGCTAATTTATTCGATGGTTCTTTTTATGTACTTCAGCTACTTTAGCTGAAGAACCTACATTAGGATAATGTATCCCATTGAAATAAAATGAGAAAGCCCGGCAAAGGATAGCACAGGGTCATACTCGAGCAAACACTCCACTTTTCTGTGTGAACTGACGCATATTTTACCTGGAGAAGCCTTTGTAGATTTGTCAATGAGACCAAAAAAGAACTACCGTAAAATCCCGTAAGGGCGCCCTCCCCCGAGAGATGGCCCATCTCATTTTTCTGGCTAAATATCTGTAACATAAATATTCCGAAACGTCGCCCACCCGCCGGTCGGACGTCAAGCTATGTCCGGCAGGAATTGCGCATCAACGGTGCGATCTGCGGCACCGGTATGTTTGATATCAGCTCCCGTAACACCCGAGTTGTTCCCGCGTGTATCATGCATCGTGAAATAAGAATCTGTTGCGTTCGCGATCTGCGGTATCCGTTCTCGAGTTTGTAGTGGATTCCTGTTTTTTTGCCCGCGACCTGTGCACGCGATATCGATTTCTAGCTGTAACATGCGCGAGTTGTTCCCGCGTGCATATTGCTTCGTGAAATGCGATTCTCCTGCATCCGCGATCTGTGGTATTTGTTTCCGTGACATGCGAGTTTCTATCAGATTCCCGCGTTTTTGTCTGCGACCTACGCGCACGATACCGGTTTCTGTGACAGGCAAGTTTGCAGCAGGTCCCCGCGTGTCTATTTCACCATAAAACTTGAATCTGCTGCGTCCGCGATCTGTGGTATCCGTTCCCGGGAGATGCAAGTTCTCGGTGGGTTTCCGCGGGTCCTTCGCACCGTGAGATGCAAATCTGCCGCGTCCGCAAACTGCGGTACCCTTTCCCGTGACACAGGGGTTTGTAGCGAATCACCGCATATTTATTGCACCGTGAAATGCGAATTTACCTTGCCTGCGATCTGCGTTACTAGTTGCCGCGCCATGTGGTCATAGCGGGTGCACCGGTGCTTGTCATTAATTTTCGATAAAGTTTTGCTGTGGCATCCCCAAAGATAACCCACTCCATGTTTTTCACCATTTATCTCTTAATTTTAGGTGGGCGTTCAAATGGGATTTTACGGTAGTTGCTCCACTACATACTTGCTTTCTCGCAATTGGGGGCAACTCTCTTTTTTGACCGAAATTAAATCACAGGCCCTCGAGCGACTGTAGGGCATACTTCTTGAGTTCTGCGAGTTTAACAACCGTATACTGTTTTCTGGTGACGTGGTTGAATTATTCTTCAGTGTGAATCGAGAGTCTTCTATCTTTCCACGTGACAGTAGGCTGACTTCGTTCAGTAAATGATGTTATTGGTGGTCGACAAAAAACAACATTTGGCGAGTCGCGGAAGTCTGCTGATATTTCAAAAATAAATTAAGTGCAAAAGATGCCTCCAGTGCTGGAAAGTCTACAAGTCGGCCTTTATACTTTTATATTTATTGTTAGATCATATGGATTGACTCCTGTAGCTTGCTTCCAGAATTAATACTTAAAGGAGCTGTGCAACGATTTTAACGTTGAAAGAATTCGCATCTTCTACTTTTGACATTGTTCATCTTGTCACAAAGGACAAAAAACACACCTCTTTCCTTCAAAATGTTGCGATTCCGCCGCATAATCGCAAGGCAAAAATTAGAATATTCCCCGGCCTGCAGCCGCGAGCAGCGGCCATGAGAACCACGTCAATGGGGGTCATCTAGAAAGATAGCAAGTTGTGCGAATACCTGCTCTATAAAAGGAAACTTTTCAATAAATCTTGTCATTCCAAAATAAATATAAATGCATCAAAAACCTGGTATCATCGACAAAACTTTTATTATACGGAGTTTTTGTGGCGCCATCTATCCTAGGTCCACAAAACCGTCTGCTCTATCTGCTACCGCGAACAGCCGCCGGAGGGGGAGGGGGACAGAGCCAGACTAAGGCCCCTATAATGGTATGGCCGGACCCGAATGAGACTTTCTACCTTTCACCATATTGTTCGCGCTGCGCCCGCCAGCACATGGTCACGCAGTCACGAGCGGATGAGTTCTCGCTGCTCACTGATGGCTCTAGAAAGAGGGCTTCACCGGAACCCCGCGCAACCCCCATTGACGTCACAGCGCCATGGCTCGGAAGATGGTGAAGGAGTTGACAGGTGCCGAAAACCTCAATTTTTGTCCATTTTTAAAATAAAAACTAGGACATGCAGGCAAAGGCGTTTTTTGTTCTTTACGTCAGAAAGGTCGAGACACCAGCTCCCAAATTATTTAGGCAAAGCACTGAAACTGTTGCACATCTCCTTTAAAAAGGCACTGACACATCAAAATCATATTTTTTTATAATCCGAAACAATCGAAAACGATGCCGGGACATTACCCTCAAAATTGAAAACTTGGGAATTCAGTATTTATGAAGTAAAAAAAAAAACAATTTCCAAATGCCAAATTTGAAGTTCCCGCGCAGTCCATGCCAGTGCAGCGACATCAAACTTTACGGTCTCCTGCGAGTCAACTTTTTTTAATGCCTCCACTTCAAATTGCCGTTGCCACTGCGACCCGAAGCAAGGAGGTGAGGAGGTGGAGAGAAGGGCCCCGGCGGACCGGGAAAAACCGGATTTATTCTGTGCGTGCCGTGCCGCCTGCCTATCGCAGGGAGGAGACGATGCTTGACATCTGAAAGGCTGCCCCAGCGGAGTCACAACCGCAGCTATGATACACAAACATCAAAACCCAGTTGTTTTGACCGTTTGACAATTTCCTTTTCGAAGTTTGAGAGGTCATCGGGCACCTATAAAAAACCAGTTCGTTCGATTCACCGGTCATCCTTTGCTATGTGCATCAAGCGCCGCCATGTTTTCTGAGGGAGGATACAAATCCAGGAGGTGACATCACACCGGACTCCGATTTTTGGTATTTCACTAAGAAGGGCCGTAGTGCGTTTGCAATTGCATTAAAAAAATGTTTTATGATTGCCATTATTAAATGTTATGGAAATGTTGTCTACAAAGCTTCCAAATTTCATGATTTTTGACGTCACAAATCAAAAGGAAGGAGGAGGTGAGGAATGGGAGAGGGAGATAAGGGCACCCAAAATGAAAAGGCGCACCCGGGCGTGGGGACATTTTTTTTCGCAATGCTGTATTTTTTTGCGTGTCTATGACTACAACTTGCATCATTTTAGACAATAAAAAAAAATATGACCTTTGGGGTGTCAAACTTGTTAGTGCGTTGGTAATGATGCACGTTTAGAAAGAATTATATACGTAAAGACAGGGGACGGGACAACACATCTTCGATTGCCCCTTTAATAGCTTCGAATTCCGCCTTGCGCCCAGCTTGCGACGCACTTTAACGACGGGCCCGTGCAGCCACGACCCGAAGCGTGCTCGTAAAAGGTACTGAAATAGATGAAGGACGTGCACACTGTTCATTGCATTCTTTGTTTATTTTAGCACCGTTTTACCATTTTATAATCACATACCGACTACAGTCGCCGATTGATTATTCGGACTTCGCTGGGACCGAAAAAACGGCCGAATAATAGAGGAGTCTGAAAAATCAGCAGATTGAAAAACTTACCTTTATTACTTCCAAGTGGGCTTAAAAAAGCCATTAATAGTGCCTTGTTTCAGGTTACGCCTCCGTTTCCGTTCGGCAACTTTTTGTTAGCTTGAGAATCGCTGCCTTCTTTTCTAGCGTTATGGTCGAGTAGCAGAAGAACAGATGGGGCCATGACGTCCAAGCCAGCGTTGTCCGAACGAGATCAGAGGCGCAAATCCACGAGCGCGAAATGGTGACTGGCGACGCGAAGGAACAAAAAACAAAGCAAAATGATGATGATGATGATGACATGCAGGTAACTGGGAAAAAAAGGGCTAGCATAGCGTCACCTAGCGGTAGGACTCAGGAGTGCTCAAGTAGCGCTGCCAAACCAAGCCAATCCGTTGGCAGCCAACATAGAATTCAAAGTGGCCGCTTCTCGATGGTGTTTTCCGCTGATCGCTCGCGACGATTTTGTCCGAATAATCGAACTTTCGGATTTCAAGCTGTCCAAAACATTGGTCGTGAATATACACTACACTATTTCTATGGGGTAAGTCACAGTTTCGCCTTTAGGTCCGAAATATCGAACAAGTCCGAATTATCGGAGTTCGAAAAAACGGTCGGCGACTGTATAGACTTTTTTTATCTCTGTACCTACATGACCGGTGGACAGAGGGCGCTGACATGTGGTGCCATAAGGTGGCTTTAATTTGGTTGGTTTTGAATTCAGCAGGCTCGCAGCTGTGTTGGTGTGTTATCTCATTTTCATTTAGTTCTGTGATATAAATATTGTAGCGGTGCTGCCGAGGCGCGTGCGAGAACCCACCGAGGACGACGACGAAGCGCGTGCAGACGGCGCGTGACACACTTCGAATTGGGTCTGATTTGGTTATGGACGTCCATTTGTAAATTAAAAACGTAACATTTGGTGTCAGAAGTGGGATTTCTGGCATGGTGCCTCAAGTTACCCGGAATGCCTCCTCTCGAGAAGAACATCCTCTGCAGTGTGGTCAGCGCCGGCGTCTCATGGAGCCAATGGCTGGCGGCTGGATTGCCTGACGCCGCTAATCTTCATGACGGAACCGCCACGAGCAAGTTATCACTTCGCCATGTTCCCCATGACTATTCTGTGGCCGTGCAATGAAGATCCTGCGTTGGCCTATGGCCACATTAGCATCCCAAAGCTTCAAGGCATCGAGGCGCGTAAGTGCGCGCCGGACTTGAATGTTTTTCTGACTGTCGTTCTGGACATTCGGCGGATGAGATCATGAGCAGCAACAAAAACATACCGTTCCATCTTCTGGACTTTGCCCTTACCAGCGCATTTCATTTTCGGTGTTGGTTTTCAAAATGCGCAAATGTGCAGTGATGCTTTGCACCGATATGATATGTGCCGGCATCAGAGTTCTCATTAGCCATGTCACCAGGGGTGACGAAAATAGAAGCCAGTGGCGGCCGAGTGACAAGTGCCCGGGCATCAACTTCAAAAAGCGCCAATGTGCTGGATTTTGGTGTTGCGGAGGAACTGTCGCGATGAGCATCGGCAACGACACCTGGAAAAAAGAACTGTCTATCTTTAATGGAACGTGGCGAGGTTGTTAAGCAGAATGAACCAACCTACAAAGAAACATCACTATAACTCAGAAAACTCAGAGGGGAAATAGTGTAGCGGTGCTGCCGAGGCGCGTGCGAGAACCCACCGAGGACGACGACGAAGCGCGTGCAGACGGCGCGTGACACACTTCGAATTGGGTCTGATTTGGTTATGGACGTCCATTTGTAAATTAAAAACGTAACAATATATCCCTTGCGGTACAGAACCTATGATACAGTGGTAAGGGGCCACATTGAGAACTATGGCGTAGTTACGATCCTGAATTCTGGACCATTTTATGAACACCTTTATCTGATTATGTTCTTCGTTTGGCCAGGTACGGCGGCAAAACGACTGAAATGATGCCGGGGAAGAGTTGTAGATGTCCACGGCCATACTGGACTTACCCGCTGATACTAGTTTCCATAAAAATAAACTAATGAAGAGTCTAATGCATGGAGGCACAGTGAAAAGTCTGGTCGACGACCTGACTAACAATGTGCTGAATTGCAACAGATGAATTCGCAAGTTCATTTATTCATGGGCATTCCATGAAATGGTGCCAGGCACCACTTCATGGAATGCAAAAAAGAAGCAATATTGTCTTCATCGGTTTCGTTAAAGAAATTAAGTATTCGAGAGACGTTCTGACGGTCCATTTTAAGCCGAACAGGAATTTCTTTCAACTATTAGCCCTACTTAAGTATTCACAAGCAGCATTTCACAATGTTGACCTTAGGAAACTATTTGTTATAAAATCGAACCCCGCTACAACGAAATTGACGGTGCGCCAGAAAAAATATGTTGTAGCAAAAATTTTGTTGTTGTGAAATTAAAAAAAAAAAAAAATGGCATACCTGAGCTGGTATAGTACAGAAATTCAAGCGGAAGCACTGTTTGTGTCTGTCGATGCCGACTCTCCACTAAGTGTCTTGCCGACAATGTCATGGCGGGACTTGAACCTGTTGAGCCAGCCGGTGCTAGCTTTGAAGTTGTCAATTCCCAGCAGGGAAGTGAAATTTAAGGCTGCACGACACTTCCGCTGATGGGTATCTTCTTCACCCTCACCTCCACAAACCATGTGCGCCGATGTCCCCGATGCAGCAGCCTTCCCAATTGCATCTTTTAATTTTGGGATTGTTGATAAAGAACTCTGAGAAATTCCTAATGTTTCCGCAATAACAGCTTTCTTCTGTCCACTTGCAACTTCGGCCAGGATGCGAGCCTTATCTTCTAAAGATAAAAACTTCCGCATTTTGCTTGGAGGTGCCATGTCCAAAAAGCCCGCATACTGTACTGACAAGAGGACAACCGACAAAACAAAAAAAGGCTACTGAGCTTTGGCTTTGGATAGCCTGCAGCAGAGGATTATCAAGGCAAGAGCTAGGGTGCACCAACATTGGTGCAACAGCGAGGGAAGGCCAGCCTCATTGCCTTCGCCATCGAGTAATGGCTGCCTGCACGCCCGGTCAACGTTGCACTCGGGTTCCAGTTATTACTGGCAGTTTCTTTTGGTTCAATACGCAATTCAAACTTCAAGGGCCACTGACGCCCCAAAGGTCGTATTTTTTTTATTGTCTAAAACGATGCAAGTTGCAGTCATAGACACGCAAAAAGAAAACGCATCGCGAAACAAAATTTTCTTGCGCGCGGGCGCGCCTTTTTATTTTTGGCGTTTCATTCTCCCGCCTCTCGCCTCCTCGCTTCTTTTCATTCGTGACGTCAAGAATCATGAAATTTAGAAGCTTTGTAGGCGACATCTCTATGACATTTAATAACGGCAATCCTAAAACGTGTTTTTTAACGCAATTGCGAACGCACTACGGCCCTTTCTTTTGAAATACCAAAAATCGGAACTTTGTTGTGGTGCCGTCTCCTAGATTTGTATCCTCCCACGGAAAACAGGCGACACCGCTCAAAACCGGTCTACCGGCGCTCGCTCTTTTCCTCCTCGCTTTGGGTCGCCATGGACTCTCAGGACTCCGCAATATTTGATGTCAACGCACCAGAGCAGATAGCGCGGGAACTTCGAATTCGGCATTTGGAAATTGTTTTTTTACTTCACAAATACTGAATTCCCAAATTTCGAATTTTGAGGGTAATGTCCCGTTATCGTTTTCAATCGTTTCGGATAATAAAAAAAAAAATATGATTTTGATGTGTCAGTGCCCTTTTCATAGTGAATGTGTTTTATGTGCCAAAATGTACCAAAGTGCTCAAAAGTTTGTTGTCCATATGGAAAATTAAACTTTCGCACTTCGAATTGCTGTGTAAAATTTCGTTCAAGCGGAAAGGCACAAGAAACAGTGTTCGCTGTAGTGATAATTTTTATGCATTGACTCCTATGGACGGGGAACCGAAAAATATTCATTGAACCAGAAATTTCGTTGAAGCGGCGTTCGTTGAAGTGGGGTTCGACTGTATGGACATTTTCTTACAACGTATTGAGAATATGAGACAAGGGGACAAACCCGTCAATTGATGTCTGATGTCTGTCTTCCGTATAACTCTCTAAATAAAATTAAAGGGCGCAAGAGAATTGACCTCCAGCAAGCTTGGCTGGCTCAAGTCAAATGCCAGGCACCACTTCATGGATTTGTTTAGACTGATATTTATTTTTTAAACTGATACGCTTTTTAGTTTCGGCGGCGTCTATAGTAAATTCGGCATTGTCAACACTGCATTTGGATGATTTCCATCCAGACGACTTATTTTCGACGTCACATCTTGCGTGCCACGGGTGCTTTTGTCAGGTGCTCACAAGCTGTCTTTGACACATTTTTCACCCAAGAAGACCAACGTTTTATGCCTAAATATATTTGAATTGGATATTTCAAGAAAATCAAATGACCGCAAACATGAGACCGAGCAAAATGTATAGTTTTTTTTAAATTGATAAAGAAACACATTAAAAGAAAGTTTATACCAGAAAAATTATTCCCGATATAATCAAAAGCAACTGGTTTGGATTTGTTATGAAAGCAGAGCAAGATGCTTTCAAAAATCACAGATAATGACTACTTGTGTTGACTATATCTGCCTTGTTCTTTAAGATCATTAATGTGTGATCATAAATTTACTTTGCACTTCTTATTGCACCAGTATCACTTGGGCAAATTTGCGCTGACTCACGAATTGGCCTCTCAACCTCAGGTGTCTTCGAGGCATCTACAAACTCAAATGGCACCAGTGCTAACGCTGATTCCTTTCCTCACATGTATCCGGTACACAGACGGTGCGAATAGTCGAAACGTGTTTCAAATTGAAGTGCAGAGGTTGTGCACATAAAGATGGCATGCAGTTAGGTAGTAAAAATAAGTATCAGACGACACTCCACAAAGCAAGGCAAAAATTACGGTAAAATGCGACGAAAAAAAACAAACGCAACGGCTTTGACAAAGCACAAGGGGGAGAGAGGAGCGATAAGTTGAAGCCATCTTATGGCAGCCATATCATGTGATTCCAAGACAGCAGTGCGCATGCGACGGAGGATGAAAAGGTCTATAGCCATTAACAGAATGAGAACGACAGGGTGTGACCTTCAGACAGCCGGCCTCCAGCAAGCACTATATGCCTTCCACCGTGCTTTGGCTGAGGTGCGCAAGATGCGTCGTCGGGAGTGGAGTCGAGAGCTTGCACTGAAGGCGAGATAGGCGAAGCTCCTCCCCGCTGTTTCGCGTCGTTGGCGGCTATAGCCCAACTGGATGCCTTTATCAAAGCATGCGTCTTTTTCCCGATGCAGCAATCCCATCGCCAAGAGTGAAGAGGACTACCGGTCCGGAGGCTACAGCCCGGTCCTCGTCAGGAACGAAGACCTGGAGCCTGGCACCATCCTGATCGACACCGTCGACGACGAACAGAGGCTCGAGTTTGCCAGGCAACAGCTCATGGGCACCGGCAGCAGGGTGCAGGTGGGTGCTCTCTCTCTGGCATGTGTGCAACTCGCTTTGCCGCCGTGGCGGTGCATTTATCAGAAATAAATATAGAAATTCGGTGGTACACTAATACAGCATTTTGGGGTCCGAGGCAGTGTCACAGTTTGTGTCAGTTCAACACGATCTAGAATAATAAAAGCCTGCGAAGAGCCTCTTCTACCACCGGGGAACATTGTAGCATGAGGACAACGCCAAGTTGGCAGTTGGGCTCGAGTCTGACACTGATTGACCTTCGAAGCATTGATTGACTGTGAGGCCCAGCCAAATGGCAGTGCAGCACTTGCCCTCAATTTGTTTCTGCACTCGATCTCGTTGCGACGTCAACGTTTCTGGCATGTGGGCTTTGATTATTGTCTAGGTGGTGTTGATTGAATACTCACAGGTAAGGATGAACTGAGCACTAACTAGCCTGAAAGCCTAAGAAATGATAAAAGGTTAGCTTCCTATCTCCTGAGCTGTGTACTGAATATTTTCATAAAATTTAATACTATTGGTGTTGGTGAAATGCTCCTGGGCCATTATTTGTTTTAACAAGACAGTGTTATGTTTTAACAAACATAACACTGTCTAACGCTCTTGCGTTAGACAGTGTTATGTTTCTTTAAAATGTGATTTCTACGAAGGTCTGAAAAATTACACCTTTCGAAGTTGTGTAAGCGCAGGATATGAGCGTTGCTCTGAAGCACCTCAGAATGTTCTAAAGGACACATGCAAAGGAAAAAGACATTTTTTTAGACAGCTTAGATGGAAAAAGGATGTCAAAAAACGATTTTACGACGAAGGAAAAAAAATTTTAGAGCTATATTTACGGCGTTATACAAATTTGTAGTCGGCGCTCGCGGGAGCCGCCACTGGTCACGTGATAGGCCCGCACGCCGCCGCACGCTGTGTGAACGCCACTTCAATGCGTTTCTCCACGCCGCCATCGCCGCCGCCGCCTAAATTCGTCTGCTTGGGGGCGCCGCCGCCGTCGCCTGACCGGCGCACAGGTCTATCACGTCTGCTTGCGCTTTTTCAGGAGTTTCCTTTGGGCTCTAAAAGTTACTTATTCATCTTAGTTTTTTGTTATACTTCGCTATACTTTTAGAGGCCGTAGGAAGCTTCCGAAAGAGCGCAAGCACCACGTGACAAATATGGGCCCGTCACGTGATAAATACCCCGCAGGGGGCACCTGTGAAAGCAGGTGTTTGGAGAGTGGCGTCTCCACGGACCCCGAGCTCCGCAGGGGGCGCCTGCACCTTAGGTGCTAGGTGCTTGGTGAGTAGCGTCACCACGGACCCCAGCCACTTTGGCGACACCACAGACCTTGAGTAAAAAGTGGGTAAGACCCACCCACGTCTGGCTGTGCGTGGCGAGCCCGTGTCCAGGGAAAAGGGCATCCTGGTGGTTGAGCTGAGCCCGGGGTAGGTTTGGACCCTTCGGGGCCCCCCGGGCGAGGCAACACACCACTTTGGCCCCTGCTTCCTGTAGACGGGTGTCCTGGCGTGGCCCGACCAGGATGATTCAGTCAGTCGCCACATCTTCTACTATCCCCTCTTATCTTTCTCTTTTCTCTGCTCTTCTTTCTTTCATATTCACCATCTTTGGCGGCAAGGGCTAACCTTGGGTGGCGATAGACCCCTTGTCTAGACCCGCACTAGGTTATAGTGTCTTGGTAGCACTGATAGCGTAATGTCGTCAGCAAAACCTTTATTGCTATGGCGCATTACCTATCCCCATGTTGGGCTCCGTGGTGGGTGGTGCGCTACAGACGCCGAACGCCTCCCCATTTATTATGGGTTCCAAGCTAAACAAAAACTCTGATCGGGCTCTGAAAAGGGCCCGCACCGAGGACAAACTTCTTAAAAATCGTACCACTGCGCCGGAAACTTTTCCAAAATTTTTGGTTATGCACTCCGACAATGAGGACAAACCACTGGCAAAACTTTCTCCTTTCCTAGTCGCAAAGACTTTGGAGATGGTAGTTGGAAAAAATTTCAAAGCAAAGAAGCTTTTTTCTGGTGACCTCCTTGTTGAAGTCCATACTGCAGAGCAGAGTACTGCATTACTTGCCCTCAACGAAATCCAAGACTATGCCGTTTCTGTTACCATTCACCGCTCTCTCAATAGCACGCAGGGCGTCATCTCCGAGGATGATCTACTTGGAAGCTCGAACGAAGAGATCCTTGAAGGTCTTAAAGATCAGGGAGTCATCGCTGTTCGACGGATCACTCTTCGTCGTGATGGCCAGGAAAGGGACACTAAACATATAGTTTTAACGTTCAACTCAACAAGTCTCCCCTCCGCAGTCAAGGCTGGCTACCTTAACTGCAAAGTGAGGCCCTAGATCCCCAATCCTAGACGTTGCTTCCGCTGCCAAAGTTTTGGCCATGGGTCAACCACATGCAGAGGAAAAACGACATGTGCCAAATGTGCAAGCAACGATCACCCCACAGACAACTGTTCTAGTGACTCACACACCTGCTTGAATTGCCGAGGACCTCACCCGGCATACTCTCGTTCGTGCCCTAAATTCAAACTGGAAAAGGAAATAATAACTCTAAAGACAAAGGAAAACTTGACTTACCAGGAAGCACGTAAGCGTCTCTCCTTCCTGCAAGGAGGCACGTATGCTGAGGCGGCAGCCAGGGGGGCTGCTCCGCCAAAGACCTCTGTGGGTACACAATACTCCGCTCAGGATATTGTGGCCCCATTTAGCCCCCCTTTCCTTGCAAAACCAAGGGTGGATAACACACCCTTACAGACTCCCATGACGCAAACAACCGACACGTCGGTGCGTCTGAGTGGTCTCTCGCAACCCCGACGGCGTGCAGAGGAGGCACCTCAGGGCTCCCCATCCTCCTGTTCTCATCACTCTGGGAGCGCTGCCAGCACATCGGCCACTCCCAACGCCAAGGTTCAGGAGAAGGTGAAATCTAACAAGTCACCTTCATTTGGACGCTCCCAAAAGGTTGTGTTCAACCTTCCCATACTACAGGAAAAACAACATAGTACACCTCAATCAAATGCTCTGGATGCACCCGAGTGTAATCGTGGTGCATCCTGTTCGCATCATGAAGCCCCTGGTGTACAAGGAGGGATGGCTGAATCCTGCACTGATCCTGCAGATCAGGCTACCCCTATGGAAGTTGACAAGCAACCAAAAAAGAAACAGAGCCCTCGCATAACAGGACCGCCCTAGCATAATGCCAGTGAATATTGTGCAGTGGAACTGCAGAGGAGCACGCTCAAACATTGAAGATTTAAAGGATCTGATGCAGGCCCTAGACCCAGAGGTGACCTGTCTTCAGGAAACCTTCCTTTCCGAGTCGGCCTCGTTCAGATTTGGCAGATGCGCAGTATATCGTAAAGACCGTCCTCCGGATGTGAGAGGTGGAGGAGTGGCTCTCATTGTGCAGCCATCGTGTCCTTCAGAGCAGATTCTTTTAACCTCAAACTTGGAAGCAGTTGCTGCACGTATTTACATCGGTATCACGGTAACTGTATGCTCTCTTTATCTTCCACCTAATGAACAGATCACGTTGACAGAGCTAGAACAGCTTGTAAATGAACTCCCAAGCCCTTACATGCTTCTTGGAGACTTCAATGCTCACAATAGACTATGGGGAAGTCAATTGGATGACTCTAGAGGCAAAGTGGTGGAGAATTTTTTGCTCAAAAATTCACTGAATCTTTTAAATGACAAGTCTCCTACGCATATTACCCTAAGCTTACCTGTAAAATACTCTGCCATAGACTTATCATTTTGTTCAGCTTCTCTTTTTACGAAATTGTCCTGGCGTGTTCACCACAATCCATATAACAGTGATCACTTTCCCATTGTCATCCAACACTCGTGCGCTACTCCTTGTGTTACGAAAAGAGTGCCTCGGTGGGTCATTGAGAAGGCTGACTGGGCGAAATTCAGTGAACAGGCCCAGATTCCCGAGGATGGTTTCACCGCACTTAATATCGATGAGGCCACGTCTGCTTTGACAACTGTCATAATTGACGCAGCAACAGTTTCAATTCCAAAAACATCATCACGGTTTCCAAAATACCCAAAACCCTGGTGGTCTCCAGAATGCACAGAAGCCAAGAAAAATAAAAATAAGTATTGGGGAAAGTTCAAGAGGTATCCCACTTCTGAGTGGTTGATCGCCCTTAAAAGAAGCAAAGCTGAGCTCCGCCGCATAATCAGAAGCCAGAAGAAAAACTCCTGGTGCAAGTACACCTCGGAGGTTACCCAGGACACATCAACAAAAGAAATCTGGGACAAAGTCCGGAAGATGGAGGGCTTATATAATGATACCCGACTCTATTCTCAAAGATGGAACAGTTCAAGTGTGCTCTCCCATAGACCAGGCAAATCTGCTGGGACATACCTTTTCAGTAATATCGAGCAAGTCTTCATACCAAAAACCTTTTCTAGCTTATTGCACGCAAGTAGAAAGAAAACCACTGCCAATAAAACTCAGTAGCGAGGAACCTTACAACAAACCTTTATCTTTTCGAGAGCTGGAACTATCGACCCTGCATTGCCGGAATTCTGCAGTTGGCTTAGACAACATACACTATAAAATGATTGCTAACTTATCCCACGATTTCAAACTTGCTCTTCTGAAGTTCTATAACAGAATATGGGAAACGGGGGTGTTCCCAACATCCTGGAGGAAAGCAGTCGTTATAGCCATTCCAAAGCCAGGCAAAGATCACACAAATCCTCAGAACTACAGACCAATAGCTCTCACCAGCTGCCTCTGCAAGGTGCTGGAACATATGATAAATTCAAGACTTGTTTTTTGCCTAGAGGCAAAAAACTTACTATCACGAGCTCAGTGTGGTTTCCGCAAAAACCGCTCCACCCTCGATCATCTTGTGTCTCTGGAGATGGAGGTTCGCTCGGCCTTTGTGAGGCGTGAACATCTGGTGGCAGTTTTCTTCGATCTTGCTAAGGCATATGATACAACATGGAGGCATGGTATTCTTAGCAACCTGGTGTCAATGGGTTTTAATGGTAACATGATGGTGTTGATTAAAAACTCCTTAACAGATCGCACTTTTCAGGTGCGCCGGGGAGCTGTTCTTTCTGACGAGTTTATGCAGGAAACGGGCGTTCCCCAGGGCTGCATTTTAAGTGTCACGTTATTTTTGGTTCAGATAAATTCACTCTGCCGTGAAATTTCTCGCCCATCGAACACTCTTTATATGCCGATGACCTTAAAATTTCTATCAGGACTTCATCTCTGCGAGTTGCCGAGCGACAACTCCAGCTCTGCATAAACAAACTGGGCAAGTGGTGTTTTCGAAACGGATTTCAGTTCTCAGCAGAAAAAAGTGCCATTGTACATTTCACGCGGAAACGCGGACTGTACCCCAATCCCGAACTGTCACTAAATGGTACACAACTTACTTGTAAGGACTCTCAAAAATTTCTTGGAGTCATTTTTGACCGAAAACTGACATTTGGAGAGCATATTGCCCATCTTCGCAAAAACTGCCTAAAAAAACTAAATATTCTTAAAGTGCTTGCACACACATCTTGGGGAGGACACGTGGAGTCTCTTCTGCATATTTACCGGGCTACAGTGCGTTCAAAACTGGATTATTGTAGCTTTGTTTATGGATCGGCTAGACAAAACACAATTCGACAGCTTGACCCTGTTCATCACCAGGCAATTCGTTTGTGCACAGGAGCTTTTCGAACATCACCAGTGGAGAGCCTATACATAACAGCCCATGAACAGCCCCTATGTCTTAGGAGAGAATTGCTAGGTCTATTTTATGCAGGTAGAATTTCAATGTACAAGGACAATCCAGCCTACACTCATGTCCTAGCCCCACCTTTCACTGAGCTGTTTGCTCGACGCCCATCAGTCGCCCAACCATTTGGAATTCGTGTGCAGCAAGTTTTGTCGGACACTAGGTTTTCAATAAGCAAGGTTTCAACTTTTCGTCCACCACTCCCCCCTTGGTATGACCCAAGCATTTCCTGTGATCTGCGGCTAACTAAGTTCCAAAAGCCATGTACTGCACCTCTGGTGTACCAACAGTGTTTTTTAGAAATTCTTAAAGAGTTCAAGGACTACCGGGCATTTTACACTGATGGTTCTAAAATGGGCGATGCTGTTGGAGCGGCCTTTGTTTCTGGGACCACCAGAAATGCTTTCCAGTTGTCTCCAATAGCATCTGTCTTCCCATCTGAATTATATGCGATTATTGCTTCGCTTAAGCACATCAGAAAGTCCCGGATCAAGAAATCACTGATATGCTCCGACTCTTTAAGTGCACTTATGTCCATCTGTGCTATAGAGCCTAAGAAACACCCGTTTATTGTAGATATTCATACGCTGTTACGAGAAATCCAGTCAATAGGCGGACACGTTCGGTTCCTCTGGGTTCCAGGGCATAGTGGCATCACTGGAAATGAGCTTGCCGACAAAAGTGCCCGACAAGGTCCGTTCGAAGACAGAACACAGATGCCTTTGCCCTTAAGTGACATTCGCCGTGAAATGTCCAAGAGTGTTGCGACAAAATGGTTGCGGCAATGGAAGAAATGTGAAGGTAACAAGCTTCATACCCTTCACCCTACTACAGATAAATTTCAGGACCATCGTCACCTCTCGCGTCATGACAGTGTATTGTTAACACGACTGCGCATTGGACATACACGCTTAACACACTCACATCTCTTAATGGGCGATGAGCCTCCTACCTGCGAAATATGTGACTCAGACCTTACAGTAATGCATCTGTTTGTTTGCAGGAAGCTGGAATCTTTCCTTAAACCACTTTTAGCACCACTAAGAAGATTAAACATTCCATTTCATCCGTGTTTGGTGTTAGGTCCTGAACCTCAGATTCCACTCAAAGACTTATTCACGTTCCTTCAAAAAAGTGGCCTCAAGTCACTTCTCTAGTATACATGAATTTTTGGAGCCCTTTACACTCTATAGGCCATATTATCCATTTGTATATTAGCTAAACATAGCACATTAGTTTTACCCATAAGCACTAACATACTACATATTAAATCAGCTAAACAGGATCTTGGCGCTATTGGGCCCTCGTGTTGCCCTTGCGCCATAAAACACCAACAAACAAACAAACAATGTGATAAATAAGGGCCACTTTTCTGCGGCACCCGCCGGCGCCAACTACAAATTCGTCTAGTGCCGTAAATATAGCTCTAAATTGTTTTTCTTGGTTGTAAAATCGTTTTATGATATCCTTTTTCCATCTAAGCTGCTTAAAAAAAATGTTTTTTTCCTTTGCATGTGTCCTTTAATGTATTAGTATAGTGCTTGGAGAGTCGCAGGGTGCTTTAGGATACACTTCGAACAAGGTTGAATTATGTCCCTGTACTTTTAGTGCACGATTGCATTTTAACGAAAGCAAACCCAGATATTGTGTCGTCCGAAGGCGTGCTTTAATATAAACATGGGAGGCAGCAGAGTTGGCTACCAGCCAAACACCTGTGCTTCCAACTACCAACCACGCGTGCTCTTGCATCCCACACCAACATTTTACGAGTCACTCCCATACACTCCCCGTGTTTTCATACTAGAGAAGCAGGGAGGAACAACAGGAAGATACAGTCAAACCTCGTTATAATGAACTAGCATCGGGAGCATAAATTTGTTTGAGCCCATGCAAGAATGTCCACAACACTAAGATATAAAAATGCACTATCGCGGATTACGAGATCCTTACCTGTCACTAAGCAGCTTTAAAAAAAATAGATCAGAGCATGAGGATATCGATTTGCAACACGAGAAACAACATTTTGCTGGATCTATTATTCCATTTATTTGAAGACGTGATTTTGGGCTGGTGCCTCTTCACCTGGTGCCACCGCGCTGGAGCTCAAATCATTGTGCCCTAACAGACAGGCCAGACTGATTCTTTTCGTTTCAAGAAGCTAACCAGGCACCAGCAAATTTCGCGCCCTTACGTCCTTAAACCGCGAGAACAGAACCCCTTCCATGTCAGGGTTGAGGCAAGGCCTTAGACTCTTTCGGTGAGTCTTGACGGCGTTGTTTGCATAGCAGTCTTCGATCTTCTTCCTTGCAATCAGGATGATAGATATCGTGCTTGGTGCAAGCTCGAAGTCTGCAGTGATGTTTTTTTTTCTTTCAATTACGGTACACCTCCTTCAAAACCTTCTCTTTTGTCTCCAGAGAGACAGCTTTTCGCTTCGTCGCCATTAGTAGCTCTGCTACGAGTTGACGGCTGGCTTTAGTCTTCACTGGTTCTTGATGCCTCTCATAGAGGCCAGCAGCGGCGCAACCGCCGTCATTTGCTCGGTTCATACGTGGCACTACCTCCTGAGAAGCGCATTTTTACACATAGGGCGATCTAAACTTTTGGATTTTTTTTTTTAGAAATTACTTTTTGTATTTTTTCTACTTTTTAATAACCTTCGTAGTATTTTGGGACGCAAGAAAAGCAGGAATTGCTTCGCTATAAACGATAGCACGTCAGATTTCACGGTTTCGTTATATAACTAGAACTCCCATCCAAATCAAACATGACCAACCAAACTTCGTGATTAGTTCTCTATATCCGATAACTCGCTATATCAGTGTTCGTTATAAAGAGGTTCAACTGTGTTTAGTGAAAATGCAGTAATTCTGCAGAAGATGGTCTGATATTGTTTCACGAGCCTAATCCTACAATGTCCCTCAAACCCCATTGCAGGACTTGAGCACGCGGGAGGAGCGTGCCTTCATGCTGGAAGCACGCAAGGGCATGGACGGGGACGACGCCAACTTCAGCGTGGAGGCCCCACTCCAGGACAAGACCTACCTCTGGTCGGACAAGTACCGGCCGCGCAAGCCCCGCTACTTCAACCGTGTCCACACGGTCAGTAATAGTCCCTTTGGGCACCTTGAATTGCTTTTGGCCGACGTTTCCTCTTTTGTGTAATCAAGTGACGGGCTACATCCAGTCAATTAGTAGTCCGGATGCAGACCCTTGAAGCTGACGAAACATAAATAGCGCAAAAGGACAGACGAGGACACAGTGAAGACGGGAGTATAGTCTCTTGCATCGTAAAAATGTGTGACAAGCTCCTCCTACAAGAGCCCTCTACCTTTTCCACTATTAGCCCCGAGAAGTTCGCGTGGCGCCCCCTTACGGCGAACCGGGGTGACGTCACGGCGAGGAAAGAATTTTTCCCCGACTCGGCCAGCTCGCCCTGTGGAGGCTGTGACGACGCTAGCTGACGGCGCGCTCGTTTCTATTTAATTTTTTTGGAGGCGTGTTTTTCGTAGGAAGTGTAAATTTTTATATGAGCCTTTATTGAGGTATGGCCTGTAGCTACAGGCGAAACTTCAACCAACATTTTAAGCATGCTTGACAAGGCAGGCAACGCATGAATCGCAGCTGGTATATGAAAATTAAGAAATATGGCCACAATTGCAGGAGCATCACTGTAGATTTACATCTCGCACAATAAATGCTGCTGAGGGTCTGAATGAATTGGCAGGTTATGCATATTATTTTTTTTTTTGTATCTCTGTTTTTAAACAAGATCGCCGAAGCAGAAAAGCTGCATGCTGCTCGAGCAACATGTTAAATACAGCCTGGGCCATCAAGAAAGAATCACAAGTAAGACAGCCCAAGTGCAAGGGGAAAGTAAAAAAAAACAAAACAAACAAGGAACATTTATTATATACATGCTTGCATTTGACCTTTGCTGGATTCGGATAGTATTTCAATGAACTACACGGGTGGTATTTGAGGACTTGTTTATATCAACTTTCAAGTAATGTATAACAAACGAAAGCGAAGGTGTCTAGCTCGTTATTAGCCCCTTAAGCCCTAAAATTGAGATTTTACTTAAATCAAATTGTCCTGAAGCTAAAATACCAGAAGCTTTTCTCACGCAGACTGCCGCCCTTCAGAGGTTCCACATTTTCTGCTGCTAGTGCTGCATCTACCACTGGACAGACGTTCGAATGCTTGCTTTTACTCCTGTTTTCCTCTGATGTCATAGAGTCCAGCTGTAGGGAGTTGGGAGGCTGAGGAAGCTTTTGGGGACCTGCAGCAGTGTCTCTTTTAATTGGAAATGACAATTCAGACTAAGCGGTGTATTTTTGAAATAGGCTGGAATAAAGAATGTCAGGAAAAAGTATAAACATTCCATATTACGGCACTATTGCCGTGCATAGTTTGGCAGTTCAATACATATCATACAGACAACTGGGGGCAATTAGGCCGTTTTTGCTGCTACCTTACAAACTAATTTCCAGTAATTGTGCATCTTCTAAGAAATATGCCTGCATACGTGTATAAACTATATAATTAATTCGCGAAGAAGCTACATTTATGTAAAACAACCCTGTTCCACGAGCACTTTCAATATCAGACGCACGGCCTTTAAAACATCTGCGAACCAGCGCATGCAGAGTGGCAGCGCAGAGTCAGGGTCGCGAGCTAATTTGCCGACTACCCAAAGGCCCATGATATAAATGCCACTTCAATTGCCTTGAAAGCGGGATCTAATATCGTCTTAAATCATGAACGTGCAAGGAACAGAATTCCAGCGTCTGAAACACTTGCGCCATCGCTTCACCGACCCCTCGCAAGATTGCCTTGTGTCGTGTGGACGAACGGGGAGGTTTATCGGCGGAATTGCCTCCGCCGAAAGCTTTCGAGATTTGTAACCCAATTTTAAAGGTAAAAAGGACAAGCAGGCTTATAAAATGTACGGAAGCACGTCAATACCGCCAGGTAAACAAAGTCCAGCTCCTCGAAGGGCTTGCGGCACACAACGCCAAACCAGGAAACCGGTGCTGGGAGGCGAGCCGATGCAAGATCGCGGAGCGGAGTACTCCCCCTGACGTCACAGTACACCTCACCCAATCCGGGTGCGGCGACCGCAGCGACGCTTGTGCTCGCTCTCGGGGCTAATAGCAGAGCGAACACTGGACCACCGACCATGGCAAGCAGAGAGCTTTGTGGGAGGGGTTTGTCCTGCTCTTAACTAACAACAGACTGTAGTGCTTGTGCCGCCATCTTCGTGTCCTCGTCTGTCCTTCGCGCTATTTACGTTTAATATGTCAAACCATCTAGCCCACCTTAATATTTTACGGTGGAGTACAGTGAAGGTTATTTTTGCACTCCATTTTCCCAGCTACAGTGTAATGTGTGAAATGAAGACAATGTAAAGCCTCCCAAGAAGGGGCAAGTCTCGATTTGACGGGGACGATGATGGGCATGAAATGGGCAAAAGGGGGTTTGAACAATGTTAAATGGGAACTTGATGCAAGTTCCTCTTCATATTGAAATGTTATCCATCTTTGCCGATTTACCGGGTTGCTTCTATAAGTTAGAATAATTGAATCTCCGTACATCATAGTATAGGAAAGTAGGAATGTGGGCTCCATTTGTAAAAAAAGCCAGACTTATTTTGGGTGAACGATGGGATCATCTTGGAAGAGCACCGAACAGCATTTGCAAGAGTGTTTACTTTGCTACTTTCACCCATCTCTCTCTAGGGATTCGAGTGGAACAAGTACAACCAGACCCACTATGACATGGACAACCCTCCGCCCAAGATTGTGCAGGGCTACAAGTTCAACGTGAGACCATTTTTACCTTTATTAAGGCGAAAGCTTTATAGTATGTCTCATCGATCAGTCCTTGAGTGAAAACACGTTGGTGACATGAAATGTACCAAAACCCACGGTTTGCCACTGGATCACGAGATGGTGTTACTTGTGCCAGAAATGGCGGAGGCAAGCACAGAGTGCAAACCCAGCGGGAGAGGAGGACACTCTCGCTCGAGCAGCAGCGAAGAGCAGGCGTGCAACATGTCGCGAGATTAATGGCGCCAAAAGTGTGTCGTCAGAGTGCGCGCCGTCTTCCCAAATTTGCTATCACTGGGATCGGCGCTTGGGCGTTCGCCTTCAAGTCGTCTTAGGGATAACATGAGAGACCCTGTGAGTTTTTGACTCTGCTATTGTTACGATACCCGTTATTGCTCGATGTAAAAATGTTTGGGATCCAGCTGCTCTTTTTTAACCTTTTTTTGTCATTCTTTGACTCCGAAAATAGATAGGCCTTTCTAACAACTGCTGTTGCGCAATGTGCCCTCAGTCGGAATATGTTGCCTCCCTGTTAGTTGGATGGGCTCTTGTAAAAGTTGTCTTCACCGCTAGCGTTTATCTGAACAGTTGTTTAGAGTGCATGGATAATGCGACCTAGAGTCACCAAATAAGCTATGCCTTAAAGTAGCGACACTTAAGCCGAAATATTCGTGCATCAGTTGACGTTGCCAGTTGTCACCAGTTCTGCCGACAGCCCGACGGAAGATGGAAGAGGTGCTTTTCATCATCCTGCTTCCTAAAACAGTTCACAACGGAGCAAAACGGTGCCGCTATGATCTCCGAACGTTATATCTACCGCCAAAGGTCTCGTTACGGGACCACGACCTCCGCAAACGGTGCTCGTCTGGCTCCGAGCACCAAAATGGTGGCGACCATGAGCTGTTGACTCGTGATGCGAACGGACGAACGGCTGTCGAGGCAGCACCTGACAATAGGGAAAAAGAGTGCCGACACTCTGAGCAGAGCTTTCTAGTGACTCATTTCTTGTTGTTTCTCCTTCCAGATTTTTTACCCAGACCTCATTGACAAGAATAGAACCCCAGAGTACTTTCTGGTAAGCTATTTGCACTTGCTCTCATTCTACGTTTGCAGTGGAACCCTTAGAAATACAGTTAAAACAAAGGACAATTTGTTATTTTGCAGACACCTATTGATGGAAACAAGGACTTCTCAATCCTGCGCTTCCATGCCGGACCACCGTACGAGGTATGCACATGTTTCGTTGTCGTTTGTGGGCATGGCGGCAGCCAGGGCCGTACCCAGAAAAAAATTTCGGGGGGGGTTTTCGGGGACAACGGCGGCCATTTTGAAAATGTCTATTGTCTTATTTTCGCCTATGAATCATGTGCATCGGTGGCATATAATGGAGAGTTATAGCAAACCGGAGAACCGGTCCCGGTTTGGTACCCGGCAGCCGACCGGTGCCACTGCGCGTGCGCAGAGGTGGAGATTAAAATCGGCTGGCTGCAAGTGCACCGACCAGGGCTGTACCCAGAAAAAAATTCCGGGGGGGGGTCAGAACCCCCTATCCCCCCCCCCCCCCTGGTTACGGCCCTGGCGGCAGCATTCTCTACAGGCTTCTTGTGGAGCAACCACATGACCTCTGCATAAAACAGCTTTTTTCATGGACAGGAAGCTGTCAATAAGACTTATCTTAACAGTGCCAATGACTTGAGTCTGAAGCTCAATACCATATCCAACATGCCTTTCAGGCAACAAGCAAAGTGAGCGAGATCAAGCTAATTATTGAATAATCATTCAGTTCAGTTTTCTAAGTGTACTCTTTTGAAATCAGCAGATGATGACAACTGTTGAACGAAGTACCAGATCAGCATTGACACGAATGTGGTTTGTCTGCCCACACTGCAGTGTAGTGCTAATAGAAAATTTTGTAGAGGGGATGAAGAGAGAGCATAGCTTTTCATCTTTACCCCACCTGTATTTGTTTCTTCAATGGCATATGTTGTTCCTAAGCTGTGGAAACAGTTTAGGAACAATATTGGGGCAATAGTCAGTAAGGAACTAACTTTATATGTAGCTCTAAACATCAGGGTAAATTTAGCTTAAACATGATGATAGACCGCGCACAAATAGACAGAACAGACAAGGTAAGGAGGGAACGGAAGAGAAGCGCGTACAGTAAAACCTCGTTATAACAAACTTGAAGGAGCGATCGTAATTATTTCGTTGTAACCATTAGTTTGTTATAGCCAATGTCCATTTCTTCCCTATTAGCATGCAAGGGGAATTATGATTGCTTTGTTATATCCATTAGTTTGTTATATCCCATTTTGTTATAACGAGGTTTTACTGTACTTACAACTGCAGTGATGTGATTGCTGCGCCCATTGCGCCAAACTGCGCCAAGGGGGTAACCCTGCTACATCCTGATACATTTTGCCAAATAATGGGTAATCTGCGCCAAGCCTGCACCAAAACACCAATTTTGGTCGCCTTTCAAAACCAAAACGAAACTGAGTACCGTAATTGAGCATGCGTGTGTTATGTGGCGCGAGCAGCCGCCGGACTCAAAGTACCCTGCATCAATTGTCCATCCGGTCTTGCATTGTTTTCCCGCCGTCTCACGTTTCGTGATCTTGTGGGTCTCGTCTCGCTTCTGTTTTTAAAATATTTTCAACGACAGACGCGAGTGTATCGGGACGCTCCGACGCTAGCGTGCCGGGTACCAGTCATGCCCTCACGCTGTGAAACGAAACCACGTTTTTGCGTGGCGGGAGCTTCTTTGTGAGCTGAAGCACTCACTCCTGAAAGCAATGGCCGTATGAAACTATATTTGGTCGTTGCCTGCCGTGGTCGCGCGACGTCGGGTGTTGCCGTCCCCACGTCGCTGTAGATATGGCGCTTTCTAAAATAAAACTAAGTACCGCCGAATGTGCATCGACATTCCTGTTCTTGCTTAAATCATACGTTACTATAAAAATCCTTCTTTAACTCAAAGACTGCTGTATCGAAGTATTTATGACCTATATGTTTCTCTCGGTGGGCTTTCTTTCGAGGGCGACCCCGGTACGTGAAATATCTGCCGCGAAAGAAAGTTAGTGAAGAGAAGTGAGCTAAAACAAACAAGGCAATGTATGCATGCTGAGCCCGCACAGCGCGCTTGTTTGTCTCAAGTACAGTTGTGCAAAGCACTTCAAGAACTTTTTGACGCTGGCTGGCAATGTCTTGCATTGATGCGCTCAGGATTTTTTTTTTTTTTTTTTTTGTGTGTGTGTGTGTGTGTGTGTGTTTAAGTTTGTAGTACCTTTCTTTGCCGGCCTGGCAAGCGGGCTGTATTTTGTAGTGTGCTCCGCAGTTACATTTTGGGAATCAGTTGGCGACAGAGCGGAGTGGCATGGTTTCGGTTCTGATCGAACAGCCGTTGTCTCCACTCGTGCGACGAAGCACGCGCAACTGCAAGCCTGCCGAAGTTGCCCTCATGTGCATGAGAACATGATTGCACGACAGAGGCACCAGTCGGGATGCTTGCAATCAATTGGTTCACGTTTGCTTACTTTTGACGAAAATCTGGCACGTCGGGAACCAATAATACGGTGGCAAGCGGTTTTTCGGAATTGCTCAGCAATGCCTACAGCACTATACACTTGTGGGATGTCTCAGCAGTTAAACCACAAGCAGCGAGTTCCGTCGTTACAAGTTGCATCAGAACACAAGACGAAGTGTCCTTCGTTTGTACAGCACCTAAAACTAATATTTTTATTTTTCTAAGAATATCTTCCAAAAGCCACTTTTGCTGCTCCAAAAAACGGTTTTGGTTGCTCTAAAGGCCACATTTGCTGCTCCAAAACACTGTTTTGGCTGCTCCGAAAGGTGCTCCAAAATGGCTTAGGCCAATCACATCACTGCAACTGGAATGTATTGCGTGAAGAAAAGGAATATAAAGCAAGATGGGGACAGAGACACCGGCACGTGGGCATACAATTCAGTCATGCCCAAAAGACCACAAAAAGGCAACTTCTTTTTCTCTAAGTGCCACCGACGGCTCACTAACGCAATTACCGCCTAAACCCATTATAGTATATGCCTCGAGCACCTCGCGTACTTGTTTTTCTTTGTACCATCCAATAATTGTGCATTGTAAGAGGTGTACGTGTTCTCCATCGTTCGAAAAAAACCCTCAATTATTAGATAGTGCAAAGAAAAACAAACACGCGAGGTGCTCAAGGTATATAATATTATGGGTTCAGGAGATAACTGCGTTAGTCAGCCGTCGGTGACGTGTAGCGAAAAAGTTGCTTTTTTACGGCCTTTTGGGCATGACAGAATTGTATGCCCACGTGCCAGTGTCTCTGTCCATGACTGCCTGGAGCTGAACCGGTTGGTATGACATGATTTCTGAAGGTTTCCAGCTGAACGTAGAAGTAAAAACCAAGGAGTGGAGAAAAAGAGACACACACTGCTGGACTATCAACCATTTACTGAAATTCTTCCTTTTCCTTTTCATCCACATTCATGAATTAAACTATTTACTGGAATTTTTCTTTTTTCTTTTTCATCTACCCTCATGACTTATATGATTAAGATCCCAGGGGTAACTTCTTCTTCGGTATGACATTTGGTGGCTAGCGTTCACATGTTCATGACTTGGTTCCCCACTTGGGGCGCTCCCAGAAGATACAGTTTTAGAGCGCAGCTCTTAGGGGCCCGTTCCCGGCTTGAGCGGCGTCGCCGTCGCCGTCGGCGTAACCAAGGTCATCCCAAGGTCACGTGACCCCCAAAGTCACGTGACCCCTCCCAAGGTCATCTCAAGGTCACGTGACCCCACGTGACTCCCAAGGTCACGTGACCCCTCCCAAGGTCATCTCAAGGTCACGTGACCCCTCTGAGGTCACGTGACCCCCGAGGTCACATGGTCTCCTCCCCAAGGTCACGTGACCCCCAAGGTCACGTGACCCCTCCCAAGGTCATCTCAAGGTCACGTGACCCCAAGGTGACCCCTCTGAGGTCACGTGACCCCCCTCCCCGAAGTCACGTGACACCCCCCCCCCCCCCCCCCCCCCCGAGGTCACGTGACCGCCCCCCCGGAGCATATTAAAGAATGAGGGGAGGAGGAGGGGTCTACCCTCCCCTCAGTACCCTTCACTCCTCCTCAAGAGCTGCGCTCCAATTCGGCGTTACAGGGATTTGTAAACGGCTTTCACTTTTTTCTTTCGAAAATAGCGTGATGGAGGCGGCACTCACGCAGTCATCCCCGTGCGCCTCAATAGCCAGAGATTCCAGGATTTTCTCCACTCCTTGGTTTTTACTTCTACGTTCAGCTGGAAACCTTCAGAAATCTCTGTCCATCTTGCTTCATCTTCCTTTTCTTCACACGATACATTCCAGTTGCGAGTATGCGCTTCTCTTCTGGTCTGTCTATTTGTGTGCGGTCTATTATCATGTTTAATGCTTACCAACTAGCCCAGCTTACTACCTTACTACTGAATTTAGCTTGTCCCACAAGCATCCCTGGCTGCATTCAAGCATGACACCGCTGTTGTTTTCTCCTGTGCATTTAAATAGTACTATCTTCTTACACTAAGTAGTACCATAAAGTTGCGAGAGATTGCCCATCCTGTTTTTCTGGCTAAATATCTGTAACATAAAAATTCCAAAACATTGCCTCATCGCACCCCCCCCCCCCCCCCCCCCCCCCCCCCCGATTCCCATCGGACGCTGCGCGATATCCGACGGGAGTCGCATCCATTGCGCGATCTGCTATACTGGTACATCTGATAAGCGAGTTCATAGCACATTACCGCGTTTTTGTCTGTGACCTGCGCGCGTGATAACAGCTCCCGTAACACGCGAGTTGTTCCTAGGTGTATATTCCATCGTGAAATGCGAATCTGCTGCATCCGCGATTTGCGGTATCTGCTCCCGTGACACGAGTTTGTAGCAGACTCCCGCAATATTGTCCGCGACCTGCGCGCACATGATATTGATTGCCGTACACGCAAGCTGGTCCAGCGTGCGTATTGTATCATGAAATATGATTTTGCTGCGTCCGCAGCAGAATCATATCATATACATGTCTTGCACTTGCATCACAGCATCTATTTTGCACCATCACAGAAGAGAGAGAGGGGAAGCTGCTTTTGTATGAATTTTGAGTGACGGGTTAATCTTCTATAATCTTCTAGAGGGAGAATAGCAATGTCTCGGACACACAAGAGAGGGGCCCAGTGAGGGGGGAGTTCCTCCTTCCCCACTTCTCTGGTGGTGGCCTGAGAGCTGACAGGGTGACGTCAGGTGCACTGCATGGGCGGGGAACAAAACAAAGATGTGAAGGTGTCCTCTGCCCACGTTCAGGGATGCCAAACAATGCCGATTTGAAGCTCTTCTTGTTCCTGTCTAACTCATTTGTGGTCCTGATTTCCATGTGGTTCTTGGGTCTGTGTGGAAGCTGCAAAAGGCGGGGGTCCTTTTCTGGGGTCATGCCGTAGGCCGCATGAAACTGCCCCGGGGGCATCACGCGGCCCGCGAACCGTGGGTTGCCAACCTCTGCTCTAAGCGTTTTAAGCGCGTCTGTGTAGACAGCTGTTCGTGACGAGAGCTTAGAACGGGCAGTTGCGTCAAGAGGGGCCACGACGCTGCAAATAACACGGTACATAAAATGCCTGTGTATTAAAATATTTCTTTTTTATACAGCAATAAATAAAACCCTTAAACACGCCGATTATGTTAATAGGCAGTTTTAGCATAGCGTTACCAGAGGCTTTTGTTGGCTACCGGGAGCCCGGTAACGCTCCTGGCACGCACTGAAAATTGTGCTTCAAAGGCGCAGCGCGAGCTTCCGGCTGTCATGCTACATCGCACGGTAGCCTGCGGTAACAAACTTCCTATCAATAACCATAAAGCAGTTTGATCATGTGTTGCAATACACTAAAACCGAGACGGTGAGAAGAGAGCTGCGAGCTTGTGACACAAAGACATCAATACTGTGAACGCTGCTCACCCGAAGCTTGACAGTCACCGTGTGCGGCTCACTTTTTAAAGTACTAATGGCCAGACAAAGCACAAACATAATATCTTCATCACCCACAAAAATATTCGGCCACAAACAGTGACGTGGCCGGTGCCTAAAATGCGCTCGCCCACCACAAAGCTTCACAAGTCGAGGTGACTAGGTATTAACGAAAGTGCCATTCTAACAGCACAGTCTCAGTAATTGCTTCACCGTCTCGTTGTTCTTCACGTTTTTGCTTTCTTTTTTGTGATGCAGGACATTGCATTCAAGATTGTCAACCGAGAGTGGGAGTACTCATACAAGCGTGGCTTCCGCTGCCAGTTCCACAACAACATCTTCCAGTTATGGTTCCACTTCAAGCGATACCGCTACAGACGCTGACAGAACAGCCAGTGGAATCCAACAAGATACTGTGTGTACAAAAGTAAAGTTATGCGTGCCTCACAAAGCCAACAATTTTATCTGTGTGTTGTTTTTCTTATTTAATAAAAACATTGAACAAAGTTTACCATACTAAGATGCATGTTCAAGATTGCAATGTGTCTTCTTTGGTGTTTGTAAGAACAAGTTTGCTCATACACATATGCACCAAACGATTTTCTTGCAAGTTCTACAATATTAGCATAGCAATGTGACACACCAACCTCATTAATTAGTTGAGGCTAAAATAATTCATTGCCTTGCAGTCCCAATATGCTGCCACATGGTCTTCATGCATCACTACTTATTTATAGTGCAACCTGAATATAGTGGATTTAAGCTTGTGTTTGTGAGGAAAGACTAGAATGGCAATGACTGATATTAAGGATATTTTAGTGACTGTCTAAGTTCAGTATAGGTAGTTGGGCTCAATAAATCTGCTTGGCAGCCTATACACTCTAGTCATGTCTGAAAAATAATAGAAGACTACATATTGCTTTGTAAATAAGTCGACAGTTAAGATGGTAGCATGTAAACACTGTCAAAATTGGGTCATGAATCCTAAGTGGAGCTGATCCTTAATCTTGAAGTTAATCTCATTGCAACCCTGATGAAGATTAGGGCTGATACCCCAACATGGCTTCGGGATTGCCGATTGGAAACTAAAAACGGACAGTTTGGGTAACTTGTGAGGATGGTACAGTAAACTTTCGTTAATTCGACCTCGACGGGACCTTGAAATTTGGTCGAATTATTCAACTGACTGAATTAAAAAAAGGACAGAAAAACAGTTAAAATTAAACTTCCTTTCATTGTCCAAAGTAATCACAGATGGTCTGATGCCATCTGCACTTAAAACACGTGTCCAAAAGCATGCTTCCGAGAGCAGCGTAACTAAACGTTAACCATCACGTCCCCAAAAGATTGTGCACTACAAAAAAAACGAAAAAAGTAAGTTTTACGAGCCAACTTCGGTGCCAAGTCAGTCGACTCGGCAACAAAAAAAAAGGAAAAGAGAATTCGCGTTTTTCGACGCGCAAGATGGACCGCACACGATGCTACAGAAAACGCTTTGAGAGCGTGCGCTGGCTCGTGCGTGCCCGACCACATGCTATGTTCTCCGCGCTCCTCCACGCCAGATTGGTTGCGCTGGCTCGCGTCTTTCGCTAAGGTCCATCCCAACGACGTAGAGGAGCAGGCGCATACTTGCGCACATTCGGCTTTGCAGCAAAGGGCCCGTGTTTCTCCGCCGTATGTTGGTGGTTTTTTTGCAGTGGTGCCTTGCAATGTGAGCCCGCGCGCATTCGCTCGGGACGAATTATCCGATGCGGAGTCTTCCCGAGTTCGAACTTTTCCTCCCATAGAAATGTATGGGCGCTCGCGGGGACTTTTGAACACTATCGAATTGAACGAAAAGTCGAATTAACCGAGGTCGAACTAACGAAAGTTTACTGTAGTTCACAAAGAAATTCACAGTTCTGAAGTCGTCATTAAGTAGTGCAAGTGAAAACCTGGTCTGTTCTTTGAACTCTTATGGTTTATTACAATGAATGAATGAATGACCAGATGGTGTCCTTGCAGTTTTTGTGAAGTCAAAAATGGACAGTACGCCAACAGGTTTAGCTTGCTTCTTCATACAAGCTCTCGCATCTTTCAATTAACCGAAGCAATGGACCGACATTAAAGGGCACCAGTCCTTTCTGGGACATCCTCTCGAGCTTCATCCTTAACCTGATGAGCACGGCCATGGTTCTGTCGGTGACGGCTGTCGCGTCTTCAGCAGGAAACTCGTTTGTTCGGATGCTGTTTTCAAAGCACTTGTGGCTTGCAAGGAATGCGTCCCAATCGGATAACACCAGCTTGAGGTAGCGAACAAAGTAGAGCAAGGCACAAGTCTCGTCTGATGTGACCAGGTCGACGAGCGTTGTGTGGTCGTTTCCGAGAGAGGTCAGAAAGTGGAGGAACAGGAGGTGGGGATTAAGCACCCCAACTCGTTCTCTTGGAGAGGATTCGTCTCTGCAATGGAAAGAATTGAGAATGGAACGTTCAAGCTCAAGTAGCTCGCCCGCACAGTAATGCACGTGGAGGAGCCTAGTGCTAAATATTTGTGACATGTGGCTCTTTTTTTTTTAAGGCAAAAACCTCGTCCCATTACGCGAAAAAGAAGCAGCCGCGTTAAGCCCGAAAGATGGTCACACCAATATGTCATCAAGCACGCGCCTCAGAAATAAAACGCAAAGTAAAGCACAGCAACGCAGATGCTTCGTCACGGAAGCCGGTGGGGTTCGCCGCGCCTGCGCATTGGTGGAGCGTGGTGTCACCACTGGAGCGCCATGTGAAAAAGGAAGACGTGGCACGCTGCTTGTAGGAATGCTTTTGCATTCCTAGACGTAAGCAATTTTTAGTGTCTCTGCCCAATTTTATTTTTGTTTTGATCAACTGATGGAAGTTAAATGGAGTAGTTTGCTTCCAAGGAGGTTTCAAAGTTTCATGTCAGTAGCCAGATTTGGACAGCTGCATCATAGAAATACAGATGGCCCAGTTTATGGTCACTTATTCTGGTTATAATATCGGTTGCGGGGAGGTGTCCCCAAAAAGTGGCAACTTTCACGCTATCTAATTGCAGGAAGAGCACTGTAATATTATTGATTATGGAAAATGAATAAGTATACAACACAAGAGAAGTAACATTAGTGCCAGATTGTTTCATAATGTAAAAGAAGACTAGAAAACCACTACCGTAATATCCCGAGCAAGCGCCCACTAAAAATTGGGAGATAATCATGTAAAATTGGAGGATGGGCGCTTCTTAGGTCAACAATATGCAAAGATATGTTCTTTGTGTATTTTTTTAATTTTGCAAAATCAAGGGGTGGGCACTCATTGTAGAATGGGCGGACGCTCGGTATTTTATAGTAAGTATTCTGCCGATACACTAGCTCCGCTACGTCACTTGTAGAAGCTGCAAGTGGTCCTGGAGCCCATGTTGAGTCAAATCAGTTTCGGAGCCCCACATAACTTGGTACCTTATTTTATGCCAGTCTTAAGTGTGTGTAGTCTTCTTGCAACAATCAGTGCTTTTTGCAGAATATTTATGGTTTCTCAATCACTCCTATTATAACAGTAATTAATTAAAAGCCAGGTTTCAACAGGGGGCTAAAAAAAACTAGTTCACTAAACATATTAATACTAGTTACTACCTTATTCATAAAAGCATTTCCTCAACACAAATAACAGTTTATTTTTCCCGACATTTGGCATCATCACACTATGAAACCCAGGCCTGCCGTGTCCGCGACCTGCGGGATCACTACCTGTGTCATGTAGTTTATAGCGGACGCCCCGGTGTTTATCGCTCATTTTCAATCAAATTTTGCTGTCCCATCCACATTGATTGCCCATTCAATATTTTTTTTGCCATTTATCTCCTCACCATGGGTAGACGTTTCAACGGGATTTTACGGTGCTCAAAAGTTGAGAGTATTCATGCAGAAAAACTATTCCGTGCTTATGAACGGTGTTGCATGCTTTAAACTATCAGTTTCAGAGATTATGGTGTATTAAGGAACTCCACGGTACACATGGTACCATACTGAACAAAGCATGAGACAAACCTCATAGGCCCTGGGAGTTTAAGGTGAAGTAGGAGCTCCATGAGAAGGCACTCTGTCAGTTGGTCATCTTGGTCTATGAAAGTTCTGACCAAGCAATCCTCCACTGTCAATCTCGGTGCCACTGAAGACGACTTGGAGGAAACCCAGGCAAATGCCTTAGAATGTATATCTGTGACCACTTCCAACTCTCCTGTAAGATAGGAACAGTGTAGGCGAGGTTCAACGACATGGCGGACGTGCTCAGTCTGCTTTTGAACTCACCTTGGTAAATGCGGGCCACAGACGCTTTTAAGGTGATAAGCAAGGCACGTCGAAGCATTCTACTGTCCCCCACAACAAAGGCCTCTTCCTTTCTGGTTGGAGAAAAATGCAGTTACAGACTTTTCGTACGGCAGTTCACTGTTCCCAGGGCTTCAGGTGTCATTTTTATTTTGTGGCCTCCACGAATAGAAAAAACTTTGAGGTACCATGTCCCGTCAATGAGGCAATGCACCAAAATTCACACTGGCAAGGCAATCTACTATATTCTACCTAACAAATATCTGCAGTGCTGACAAAGATATGGGCACAAGTGTTGCTCTGGAAAGTTCCTTGTATGCGCGAGTCCTTGTACAAACAAAAGCATTCGGCTGAGCTAGGCTCGCATGTCTGCCCCTTCCTGCACAGAAGGCATTTGTGAGATGGAGCGTAGTACTTGTGCTAGTGACAAACCAGGATGAAGTGACTGCAGAAACATGCATGGAAAGAGCAAATGAAATGTTTTTGAATGGTGTAATGTGTGAATTGGAGGCTAGCTGTAGCTGCAAGGCCTATATACAGGGCACTGCCCATTCTTTAAAGGGATACTACAACGAAATTTCGGCGCTCATTTTTTGGTCTATATGTGTTCAAAGGAGCAGTATTACATCGAACATACCAATATTTTGTTAAAAAAGTCTTGAAAAGTAATTTTAAAACGAATTAAACGATTAGCAAAGAGCACCTGGTCTAACGCCTCGTTTGTAATGCTCGTCTAGGAACCTTGACAGCTAGTGACGGAGGTTGTCTCGTCTCCGGCCACGACGAAAGAAGAGGGGAACGAGGAACTCCCCTCTTCCCGGGAATGCCTTTTGTGGGTAGCAGAAGTCGCTATTGTCCCTTTACAAGATTATAGAAGATTAACCCGTCGCTCAAAATTCGTACAAAAGCAGCCGCTTCGGTGGCTGGAAAGACTAGGCCATTCTCTCGACGTCAGCCTCGCCGTAGCTTTGCTCGTCTTGAGACGACCTACGTCACGATTGCGTTGGATGTCACGTGGTCTCCGCTGGGCCTTCGAGCGCTTGCCAGAGTGGGCCGTTTATAACGAAAAATACAGCCACCAGGCTCAAAATACAAACGTGCGATTGTCATTTACGGATATTGTTGATCATATTCAACCTATTTTTAAACACGACGGTAATATTTCAAATATTGTTGAAGTATCCCTTTAATAAATGCAATAATGGTATCAAGTTGCATATGGTCTTAAAGGGGCACTGACACCCCAAAGGTTGTATTTTTTTTTTAATTGTCTAAAACAATGCAAGTTGTAGTCATAAACACGCAAAAAATACCGCATCGCAAAAAAAAAAATTTCTTTACGCGCACGCGCGCCTTTTTATTTTTGGCGTTTTTCTCTCCCACTTCTGACCTCCTCGCTTTTTTTTATTTGTGAGGTCAAAAATCATGAAATTTAGAAGCTTTGCAGGCAACATTTCTCTAACATTTAATAATGGCAGTCGTAAAACATGATTCGAAAACTCTTGAGTCCGGTGTGACGTCACCTCCTGGATTTGTATTCTCCCTCGGAAAACTTGGCGGCGCCTGACGCACGGAATCAAACCGGATGTTCCCAATCCGCCGGCGCCCTTCTCTCCTGCTCCTCACCTCCTCGCTTCGGGTTGTGGTGGCAACGACGGTTTAGAGCAAGGAAACGTGAAAGAAAGTCGACTCGCAGGGCTCCGCAATATTTGACGTCATCGCACTGGTGCAGATCGTGCGGGAACTTCAAATTCGGCAGGTGTAAATTGTTTTTTTTTACTTCACAAATACTGAATTCACAAGTTTTGAATTTTGAGTGTAATGTCCCGGCATCGTTTTCAATTGTTTCAGATATTTAAAAAAAATAATAATTTTGATGTGTCAGTGCTTTTTTAAGGTAGCAAAACAATAGACAACAGAGGACTGAAAACTGTATTAGAATAATTTCTTGGTACACACCTAAGATTTGTGCAACCCAGACCTCTTTACAAGTTGGGGTAAAACACATACATATCATTTTCGAAATTATGAACAATACTTTTGTCTGCGTCATGCAGGAAAGCAATTACTACTAACTGCTTACTGCCAGGATGTCTACCTAAGCTGCACACTGTGATTAGAATGATTAGATTCTGAATTATAATACCCACATCATTTTTTAATGAAAATTGGGGCCTACAAAACCTGAGCATCAACATAAATCTTACACCATAGAGGAGCGCACAGTTGTGCTAGCTAGTATGTCATTACTGGAAAGGATAACAGTGTTAAATGACAACAGACAAGTGTAATGATTGAACAGATGGAGCAGTCAATCTGTTAGCTTGTTTCACTTATATATTGCCTACATTCCAGCTACACTAGGGTAAACATTGTCAGTAGGCTTTAGAGTATATACTTTGTTTTATTGCATTGCCAAAAAAAACATGCAGCCCACCTCCAAGTCACAAGCTCTACATTCATGTGACCAAAGCCAAAGGCTTCTTTGGAGGCTCATGTCAGAAAGGCAGCCATTTTAGCTATGTGAATGTACGGGGCAGTGGTGCAGTAATTCAGCTGATATAAAACAAACTATTGAGAGCCAAAATTGCAAGTTTTTTTTTGGCAGAGCAAGTGCTCCAAAACTTTGTAAAACATTTAGAACTGAAAGTATGTACCGTATTTGCTCGAGTAATAGACGCAGTACTTCTGAGCAAGGCCCTTACATCTACTTTCCTGCAGAACACACATACAACCGATCATCGCGGTCTGCTTAAAAAAATGCAGCAAATCACAAAGTCGAGAACATGATCCTCCATAAAAAATGTGATCCGAGCAGATAGCATTTTTGCGCAAAGACGTTATCTCTGGCCCGTATATCGCTGTCATTTTTCTGTCTGCTATCCCCATGCTCCGTGGGAAAGCAGATCCACAGGCTTTGTTCATGAACAGTGCGGCTATGGCTTGAGCAAGTTACAAGTACCCAAGTCTGAAGACGTACAAAATGTTATGGAAGGTATTATCCTGAATGCTGAATATGCCCTTGGCAATAGTGACCGATGAATTAGTGCTCTCATTGTCTTCTGTGCAAAATGTAGTTTTTGCAAGGAACGTTCAGTTTGTGTTTTCAAAAGCAGGTGGAATAGGTGAGGCATCCAACCTTTTCGTAGCACTGACAATTGGTTCCCTCAGAATCCCACCAAATCCACAGGTGTCATTTCTATAGGGAAGTCTCTGAAGCCACCCTTTACACAAAGCTTCGGTGAGCTTGGCAGAGAGCAGGGGGATCCAGCTCGCAGTTCTAGTGAGGTCTGCTTCCATAGTGAGCGAGCAAAGTCCCTGGAAACATAATGATCATTAGTATTAATTACATTACCCTTTGGTAATTAACATTTTATGCCACACACAAGCACTTGTGCTCGTTGCAATATTTATCAGTGTTTTCACTCATATATGGCAAAATGTTTAAAACTGAAGATAGGTGTGGGTTACATTTGATAATACTATGTACTGGCCATAAAACTTGCTTTATCATAATCGCAAAGCTTACTCACAGTATAGTTTGCCTTAAGAATACTTGCCTCATCTAATATCTCCAGGGCAAGGTTGCTCAAAATGGCACATTCACCGGTCGACACTGCCAGTAGGCAGTCAACAGAACAATCATCAAAAGTGACAACGTTGGGACAGTGTTTCAAGATATTGTACCACATCTTTAGTAGAGAGCATGAACAAACATTCAGGCTCCTATCTTCACGTTTGGTATGAACAGCAGACCACCATTTTCTCACTGTGTTTTCAAGCCTTGGGGTTAACCCTGAAATACAACAAGGAGGTCTGTCATGTTCGAAGTCATAAGCATGTCTCATTTCCTAGGCATTTTATGGGGGTAAAAGTTCTGTACCATTGTCGTCATCCCGTTGAGGTTCACATGATTCGAGGGAAGGACAAGAGGGTTCTTGCCCATGCTGAGGATGGCTGCTTCTCGACTGCTGACTCAACATGAAACTTATCAACTTGTAGTACCGGTCTCGTTCTTCTTGTAGAAGAGTGTCAAATCTAGTCACCTCTTCGTCGAGGAATCTGAAGACCTTACTCTGTATGGATTCATTAAGCGTAGCAAGCGAGCTCAAGGTAAGCATGCAACTGTGGCGTATGAAGTTGTCCGGTGTCGCCAGATGTACCTTGAGCTAAGACAATAAAAAAGAGAAACAAAAAAAATACCCCCATTAGTCTTTATATCCTCACGTATTACAATGTATTTATCGTAAGTGAGTAGTAAATTGCTCCAATTAAATAAAATAAGAAAACCGGCCAAAAAAAACTGTTTCGAAGCTGGAATCCAAACCTCTGATTATATTTGTGTCTGTGACCAAACCAAGGAAATGTGGTGTCGGACAGCTGAAAACTTAATCAAAAAGAGGCACTGAACACGCCAGTAGGCACATACTGTGTTAGTTTATACAACTCTTAAGTATGGTCATGGCCCGAATATTTTATAAGCTGCCCTTTCAGTCACCAAGGTTCCTAACAATGGGTGATCGGTGGACAAGCGTGTTAACGCACCGCAGCTCGGAGCATGTAGAATTAAAGCTTACGCCGCAGAACCCAGGGATCCCGGGTTCAATCCCCACCCATGACTGTTTCAACCTGGAAGAGCATCGCACCAGCATGCGGTTGCGAGCCGCTACTGTGTGATGCAGTAGATGACGGTCAATAAACGACTATGCGTTGTTAAACCAGTGCATTGTGTCATTCTCTAAGACGGAGAGCAGCGAGAGAATTCCTACAACGTTAAAGACAGCAGGCTATCAGTGGTACTGCACTGGCTAAATTTCTCGTCTACAGAGGAGTTACAAGACGTCCACTAGGGCTGACTGATACCTGTACCACACGGGCAACTCGAATGCCATTTACAACGAATGACATTTGAACGACACTCCGAGCGTGGGGCGTTCCACGCGCGACAGATCGCGAGCCGATTTGTCGATCACACGAATGTCATTCGTTGTAAATGGCATTTGAGTTGCCCATGCGGCACGGGCATAACTTCCTGCTATCTAAAATACATCATTACCTTTTGGTAGAAATATTCGCTTTATCGACATTCAAACAGTAACCAATTCCAGTTTATGTTTTTTGCCAGTCACCACAGCTAGGGCATTATTTGCAGCTTGTGACTGGCCAGATGTGTTTGCAAAGACAGTCAAACCCATATTTGGCCAATGGCATTTTCTCACTTTTGTGCCAGTGCCATAGATGGAAGTAAATAAAAATTCTGGTTTGATGCGTACGTCCGACATAAGCCCAGATTTGTAATCAAAGGTAGAATATAGTTTCAGTCCTTCTATGATTTCAAGTTACCACCGTTCAAGGTAACTTGGAATGTTAAATTTACTAATTAAGGTGACAAAAGCTCCTGTCTCGGTGATAGAGGAATTGCAAGACATGTATTTCCTGCACCAAGTAGCGCGTGGTTCTGTCGATTGCGCAGAGTTGTTGATGGTGCTGAGGTTTTACGTATTATATCGTTGGACCTCCCAGTGCTGGGACACTTTTGGTCCTGATGCGCCGGCCACCTGCATAAATGACACGTCTCCAATGCCTCGTTGACTAACAAAGGCATTTTTGCTTTAATTAAAGTTATGGTGAGCGCGTTGGTCCAATTTTATGTGAATATTTGTGTTCTTAAAAAGCAGTACATTGTTTCCCAGGACACTCGGCTGTTGGCAGGCACTACGGTATATCTGTCTATACCTCTCTATCTATAGCTTAGTTTATGTCAGACTTAACGCCATGAAAACACTGCGTTAGACGACGCAACATGACAGATATAAAAGACACATGTATACTTGACCGTACCGTAATTTGAACGATTTGGCATTGACGACCTATGTTCTTCACAATTTCTAAGAGCGCGGGACATATTTTCCGAGAACGCAAACTTTTCACCGCAGCTTCTGATGTGACGTGAAGCAAGGTAAGGAGAATTAAAGTTGACTTTTCGTCGCCTGAAACAAGCGGAACAATTAACACGCACGTCAACATAAGGTTTCTCGACATGAAATACTCATCTATTCAAATGAAAAAGTGGATACCTGCTGGCGTTCGTCCTTCTAGAAAACTGTCGATCAAGGACTGGTACTCGTGCTTCACATCGCACGCGCATCCAGTCGATAGAGCGTCGTTTATTTTCCCCGCCTCTAAACCACTGCATGTGGTATGAAGACTCATTTCTCATACTGGCAGTATTCGATACCGCGGAAAAGACTGCAAACGAGACCTTATTCTACTTTTGTCTCCGAGTGGCAGGCGAGCTGAATGATGAATGAGCGCGGCCATTTTTAAACCAATTCTGTCACGTGATATCAGGACACAAATTAGCAAAGCAATGTGCTAGTTATATTAAAACTGACTAGTTTAGGTTTACTAATTCATGTATTTGAAAATTGCAAATAATAATATTTTAATATTTACATTTAGTCATTCAACTATGGTGGCTAATTCAACCATAGAGTTATTATAATGTACGCTAGAGGTTCAACTGGCGCTAGTGTCTATGCGACTTCCGTGACGCAAATTGAAGCAGACAGCAACCAGTCTGCTTTTCCAGTCTTCCTGTGTATTCTTATGGGAAAACGCGCGTGCATTTTGTCTCTTCGCCGGAAAATAACACGGAACACTTTGGTTATTTGGGTCGTACCGAATAGTATGTACCTTGATTAACACTGTAAAAGTGTAATTGCTTTAGTTAGCGCATTTTTCTTCATCAGTGACCGATGTTTAACTTCGCTACATTTCAGTCCCAAACATGTGTTCCGCAGCAGGTGTGTAAAAACAAGCGACGATTCGAAGCAAAATTAAATAGAAAGGAAAGCAATCCGGTGACGCTTATATATTGATAATATGCCAGTCCTGCCACTATATAAAAATGAACCCGTCGTGCATGAGCGGATAAAAACATTCAAAACGTAGAGAATAAAGTCCGTGGGCTATAAAAGTTGTCTCTTCGTATTGTTTTCTCTGCCGGTTAGCTTTTATCGGGCACTTGTTCTCAACGATTTCGAGCGTGCGAGTGATATTTTGAACGTAGAACAAGCAGCTTCGCCCAGAGCAGAAAGAATAAAACGGTACTTACTTATTTAAAATAGGAATAGATTACGTGGCCTTCAATTAATTTTGATCGTATATGCACGTGTAGTTACTGATCCGGTGTTACTGCGTAGTTCTTGCCGTCTTTCTTAATTTCCAGATGTTCTTCGTTCGTTTGGCACGTATACATCCCCCACGCTTAAAAGCGCCGACGTCGTGTTCGCGCTAACAGTGTCCGACAGTGCACATAAATACATGTACGAAGATGTTTTAGCACCCTTTTTAATGCGATGAATTTGAAAGAAAAACACCGTAACTGACCAATTGTTTCGTCGGCCTGACTGAGAAATGTTCCAAGCTACCTAGTACGTATGAATTATTCGGGATATTTGCTCTTATGATCGAGCGCAGAGAGAAAATGCACTCACTTTTTCCCATAGAAATGCATTACCGGAAGTCAATTTTCGACTGGTTGCTGTCTGCTTCATAGCATCCTCGATCATCCGCACCGGTGCGCACCGGGGCACTGAGGTGCGCCCCTTCATCTTCGATCAAGTGCACCGGTGCGCACCGTACGTCCTCGATCAACGAAGCGCACCCCCCCGGTGCGGCTTTTCGTTGCCCCAACGCGCACCAAGAAAATTGGCGGTGCGCCGGGGGGCAGTCCCATCAGACCTTGCGGCCAGGAGCGGGAATCGAGAAGATGGCGGGAGTAGCAGACGCGCAGACTATCGAGATGGCGATCTTGCAAAAACGAACACGCCTCGCAGCTGCACTAGATGATTTCCTCGGGTCTTCTGACGGCGAGACGACGAGCTTCTCACCATCGCCGCGATTACTGGCGACTGCTGCGGTGGCAAGGAGCGCCCGAAAAGCACGAACTTCGTGGAAAGCGGCGCGAGGCGTTTCGATGACAGCGAGGTACGGCTATTATCTGGTGTTTCGTTTTCTTGAACTAATAATGATGGCCAACATATACATGTGGACTTGTCACCCGCTTCGTGACCCCATCGACAATCACGTCCACGATGTTTATTTCTGTGGGACCGTCAAATCCGCGAGTAAATAAATAGAAGAAATTGACAGCAGACGGGCACCGTGCGCTGATTTACGCAAAATAAACGAACAAAACGCGAAGTGACGCAAGGTGGAGCTCGCCGCGGTGCACCGGCGCGGCGCAGTTTGTCTGGTTTGTCCTCGATGTTGCACCGGCATCGCGCTGCACGACCGAGGAGCGCTGTGCACTGTGCTGGTTTCAGGGCGATTCCGGTGCGAGTTGATCGAAGATGCTATCAATTTGCGTCAGCACACTAGCGCCACTTGAACCTCTAGCGTACATTATAATAACTCTATGAATTCAACCACCTTAACATGGATGAATTCAGGTGAGCCCTTTGAATCGGGCGGTAGCTTACGCCACCTAGCCATTTTGTTTTACCATTTAAGCTTAGAATATTTAAATGTGAAAACTATACGCACTCCGCACTGAGAAGAAAGTGAGGCTATAAATATCCCTTGCCAGATCGCTTAGTATCTATAGTCCGTTGCAACGGTTTCAACCTGAGAACGAAGGGCAAGGGTAAGACGGGCCGGGGAGGAGGAAGCGGACGGAGCGCTAAAGCATAGAGATCATACATACTAACTCTAGAGGAAAAGGTCCGCCATTTTCCCATACATTCTGGCTGCCGCAAGCGGCGGATCATGCAGGCAGACCTTCTGGGTCCGAAACACGGTTACATCATCAGAGCAGTTTCGTGAACTTCAACAATTCACGAACTTACCGGTGGAAAGATATTCACGTTCCTTTCGAAGCTTTCTTTTTGAAAAGCGCGCAGATGTACGGCCTCGCGTTAACGCTAAACTAAACCATATACCCGGCTTCGCCAGTGGGGCGCGGCTGGCCGCGGTTGAGGAATACGAAACTGCGCAACCACCAGATTTCGACAGAAGGGAAGTTAATGCAGCGTAATGAGTTTATTGCTTTTTATAAGCGTTAGAATAGCTCATAATTTAGTTTACAACGTTAAATTATCGCTGTTTATATTGCTAAGAGTTTTCACTCTTCGCGTTACCATGGCAACGTTGCTTTCTTTCTCTCGTGTTCTGTCGCTCTCTTTTACGTTCGTTCACTCGGGACCCAGGATGTCGGCGCACGGGATTTGCCACCCCTCCTCACCCACCTTTACCCCCCTGCGCTAAAGAGAGGAGGAGGTTTCCCCCTCTCTTCTTCAGCGTTCCGTCTGCTTCAACCTCCCCGGCCCGTCTTACCCTCGCCCTTCGTTCTTACTCCCTCGCGTGGGCGCTGCCATCTTGGAATTACGTGACCCGGTAGCCATTAGGTTGCTCCAACTGTTTTTCCGCTCCCCCCTCCGCGCCTTGGCGGATGCGTTGTATTAGTGCATTATTCGTGTTTTTCGCCGCGTTTCACCGCGCTTTCTTAACTTACTTCGGCAACTGTAGTCCGATACGTCTACTCGGCGACTAAGACATCACGAAGGTTCAAAGGTCCTTATGACAACTGAGGTTTACATAAGAAGCGCGTATATTTATATCGCGCATTCAGGATCGGAAGGCGTCAAAAATAGTCAGCGCAAGAAGGCTATATGTATTTAATGAAGTATCATTTTTATTCATAATATATCGAAAACAGTTCATGTTGATTATGTGAGGAAACTCGCGGAGGAAATGGAAAACGAACGATTCACTTGTATTTTATCGGAGGATAGAAATATGGGCACTTCAACATCAGGCGATTTGTTTGTTCATAATATTACACCTACATCTGCATGAAGTTCTCAATCTTTTTTTTTTCTTTTTTGCAGTGTAAACATTTGGTTGGTCGGTTTACTTCTGAAGTTTAAGAAATTTATACCATGCTGGCTACCATTTCGACAGTCAATTAAGTGATTTATTAATTATCTTTAGATAACCAGATCAATTTACTTAATGGACCTTTTGTAGAAACCTCGGTTCGAGAGTAAATGGTTCCTGTACCCTCTCTCTCTTCCTTCTGGCCGAGCAGAGAGGGAAGATGGTTTCGTTGTGTCGACTTCGGGGCGGAAGATCACCCACGATGGGGACAAAGGCGAGTTTGGGGGAGCCATATCTAGGTCACAGCGCCTCAATGGGTGAACGGGATGTAGCTGACGCTTCGGGTGTGGAACGGGTGGGAGAGGCCTTGTGCGCGCGTTGTTTTCTCGCCACGTAGCCTCGAACCCAGTCGCGTGTCTAGGTGGCAGCACATATTCGCCAAGAGGTCCATTTATTTTAACAAAAAGGTTGGGACTTAGTAACGGTTAAGAGTTGAGCTTGTTGGTACATACTTGTAATTATATAAGCTTGAACTTTATTTATATATATTATAGCGAGTTCGTTTCACACATTTCTAAAGTTCAAGCTTCCTGTGTAACTGCCACAGACAACTTCACAGTAGCAAGTTTTAGAATCGCGTGAACAAAAAAAAAAAAAAAAAAAAAACACGTCATTTTTATTTTGAAATTTAAACGCGATTTCGATTCGGCGCATGCGCAATAATAACAACGTTTTTTTTTTTTTTTTTTTTTTTTTTGCGTACGTTGTTTTAACTTCTGTTAGTATCTGGCAACGTTGGTATCTGGGGTCAGCAACATTTGCCGCCGGGAAAAAAAATGTCTGCATTTTATTTTTTATTTTATTTTTTTTTTTTTTTTTTTGTCTAGGGCTGTCGATGGCAGATAGAGGTTTACTTTTGGTCCTTGGCGACGCCGAAATTTACAACGCGAATCTGTTCAAACAAATAAATGTTTGTTCACACAAGCCCGTGAAGTGGCCGGTGCCTAGCGCTAGAATTCAGCCAAACTTTCCGAGCTATTTCTCTTTCGCCCTTTAATTTAGTTTGGCCAATTTTACGGAAGACAAATGCCAGATTTAATTTCACGGGTCAGTCACTTGCATAATATCTTGAGTAAGCAAATGACATAAGAATAATTTATTTCCTAGGGCAAATATCGCGAAATGCTGCTTATGAGTACAGGGTGTCACAAATGAGAATTTACACGGTCTTTTTTACCGCAAAAATAAACTAGGCATCGCCGAAAGCTCATTCTGCGCCCAAAGGTAGCGCTAGAGGTCACAACCAGATGCCAAAGTTTCAGCCCGATCCGATAACTTAATCAAAAGTTATAAGTGATTTTCTGAAAATTTCAATGGGAAAATTGAGCCGATTTTTGTCCGTTTTCGGTTTCTGGTGTCATAGAGCTCCATGTGTTTGAAAACTCCGTCGGCCGCCATC